CCCTACAACCTAATATATTCATATGATATGCATGTCTCTTTTTAAAAAATAATTATTAACTTTATTTATTTATTTATTTTCATTTGACTAGAGAGGAAGAGAGTGAAAGAGAGGAGAAGATGGAGTATGAGAAAGCAAGCCACCAGGTCTGAGACTCAAACTACGGTTGGCCATGTGGGAATCCAGTGTCCTTAACCACCATGCCACCTGCTGGTCCCCATCTGATGTATATTTCTAACTTCAAGAGCTATTTATTGAATATGTTCTATCTGCCAAAGACTGCAGTAGGTAACAACAAATACAACTGGAAATGAGTCTAAAACTTATTATTAGGTCGTTGGGAACGTCATGACATATTTTTGTATGTTTTTCTATGCAAAAATGTGTCCTGACTTTCCCAACAATCCAGTAGTATACAGGAGCATGGGACACCTATAATGTGTGTGCTTGACTAACAAGAGGAGGAATTCTTAGCATTCGACATTCTATACTAAGTTAAAATGCAGAAAAACCCTGTCCTACGTAGTGCTAATATGTAGCTTCATATCATCATCATTAACCATGCTATGTTTTTCTTTTAGCTCAGTGTAAACAAGGAACCTACTCATCCAACGGCCTTGAGACTTGTGAGTCATGTCCACTGGGCACTTACCAGCCAGAACTTGGTTCCCGGAGGTGCCTCTCGTGTCCAGAAAACACTTCAACTGTGAAAAGAGGAGCCGTGGACATTTCTGCTTGCGGAGGTTATCAAAGCCTTAGATGTTGATGTATCTTTAAACCGATAGGTTCAATGCATAAAGAAGTAGAATATTTTTTAGCAAAACCACATAGCTAATGTAGGCAAAGAATATAAATATCTGTTTCTACGTGGAGAGTTCCTTTTTAATTGGCCAGTCAATATAAACAACTGCAGTATGATGCTGGGCTAGTGCTATTAGGAGCATGAAAGACGTAAAAGACCTGATCCTAGACTTCAAGCAGTGCTAAGTATGTGGCTTCATGGTAGGGAAGAAGAACATCTAAACTAGAAACCGAGTTCCCTCATTTATAAAATGAGGAACACCATCTAGTGTTCTTAAATCTCTAAAAATAGATTATTCTATGAATTATAACCATTCTGTACCATTTGAAGACTTTTGTGAGCTAGATTAGGTGATTCATTCTGGATGTGCATGAGAATCCTCTTCACATTCACATCAGTTTTTCTAAATTACAGGAGCCTGATCAGCACTTCCAGAGATTTGGGGTTAACTAGAATACTGCCTGGGCATTGGTTTTCTTTGTAAGTTCTCCCTGGTAATTCTAAAGTAACAAGCAAAGTTAAGAGCCACTACTTTGGGTGTTCAAATGTCACAATAGAAAGTTGGTTAAAACAGACTGCTGAGCCCCACCCCTAGAGTTTTTGACTCAGTAAATCCAAGGACTGGTCTGATCCTTTGCATTTCTAAATAGTTTTTAGATCATGCTTATTTTACTGGTCCCACACATTGAGGGCCACTGGTGTATACAGAAGTTAAAAGATAAGAGTTCTAATTTTAAGAAAAAAAAATTTTTTGAGAGAGATTTTTGCTACAGGGCACATGTGCTCACCAGAAACAGAAACAGATAGTGAGAAATCACCCCCCCCAGGAAGTATGGCCAGGCCACAATTCCTTTTCCTCCATTCTCCTCTTCAAATTTTGGGAATGCACACATTCAAATTTTGGGAATGCACCTGGCATGAGTTTCAAGCTACTGTGTCCTGTACTCAAACCACAGTCGACTACATGGGCGTCCAGCGACATAGCCATTACACCAACTGCTGGTCCCTGCTGTTTCCAATTTTTTAAGTATTTCTGATTAACATCCCTACTGAGTACAGTTTGCTAGCAAAATACTCATGAAGATGTAAACAAAAACAAAAGATGAAGACAGAATGATGATGAAACTGATAAGTCAAGGTCAACCTATTGTCACAAACTCCAAAAATTGCAATTGCTTTGCAATCAGTGAAACTGGGTTAAAAATAAAAAGTTGGGTTGGTCTACCTCTACTGTATCATTGGGGAGGGAACAAGCATGACTAACTAAAACTTTCCTTTTTTTAACAATGATATATTCTCCCCATTCTCTATATTCTGAGGTCTATGGCAACTCCAAAAGTAAGAGCTTTTTCCTTATTGAGTAAGTGGTTTGTTTTGTTTTGTTTTGTTCTAAGAATTCTTTTATTGAACTTTGTTTATTTATTTGTTTTAATTAGGAGGGTGAGAGAGAGAGAAACTGAGAAAGCAAGCCACTAGGTCCAGGACCCAAACCAGGGTCAGCCCTGTGGGATTCCAGCAACCCCCAACCATTATGCTGCCTGCCAACCCCCTGAATTAGTGTTTTTTTAAGATGACACCCTGCTGGTTCCCAGTTCTGTCAAACTATGCAGAGAGACCCAGATCTCCTTTCATTGCACCCCAGCCTTACCTACAACTGCATTCAGCATTTCCAAACTACAAAAGGGCGGAGAAATTTTTATGTAGTAGGGATGGGTATTTCCAGCATTGCTTCTTAGGAGATGTAGTCCTTTAAGTTAGGAGCCATAGAGAGAAAAGAGGGAAAGCATACTGTTTAAATTATGCACCGCTACCTTTTAAATGATCTAAGTCTAATCAGATAAAAGTCTGTAAGACCTAAGGAATTAGGCAAGTAATTTTCACGAATGTAATGTTTCACTGAAGAGTTGAGAAGAAAATTTAGATAGGGCCTAACTGAAAATTCATAAGGCATATCTGTTTTGTAATACCAGCTTTACATTTGTTTGGCTTTGGTTTTAATTAAAAGTCAGACAAGCTCACACATGATGGTTGAAATAGATCTTTCTTTCATTTTGTCAGTATACAAACTAATGTTGGGAGAAAACCTACAGTAAAAAATTCTTTCCCTCCTACGTCCTCCAACCACAAAAGCAACTAGGATATTTACAGTGAAACAAAACTCATATCTGGCAGGTTGTGTTTTTTTTGTTTTTTCTTTCACCATCATAATTAAGCCTTGAGGTTTGTCTAATACCAAATTATTGAAATGAGACCATAAAAGTTCCCAGAAAACTTCTAAAATTCTGGTAACTGCCCCCTTCTCCTAATATTCCTAGCACAAGTTTGACCACATTCTGCTTCTCACGAGTGAGAATTGGGAAAAGAAAACTCAACACTTTCCTGTGCTGTTGGATAGACATAATTTTACTTTAAATTTAAAATGTTTTTAAATTTTAAAATGACCCCTTATATATTTTTTCTGAGTTTTCAATTCACTCTTTTCTCTTCTTTCTTTTGCTCCTTCCTTTTTTTTCCTTTCTTAGCTTTTTACTTGATTTCCTATCTTTATTGATTTATTTTCATGGGTATGTTGTACAGTTTATTTTATTTTATGCTAAGATACTACTTTTGCATGTTCAATTTAAAATCTTTTTTTTTTTTTTAATTTGCCAGAGGGCACATGCGCTGGCCAGAGAGAGACAGAGAGACAGAGGGAGATTAAGAAATCACTCCCCATAGAGGACGATCATATTGCATTCCCTTCCGCTCCATTTTCCTGTTAGGATTTTGGGCACACTTGATCATGTGCCCAGCATGTATTGCAAGAGGCTGGATCTAGGACTCACACTGTGCGGTCAGCCATGTGAGATCCAGCCACCTTAACCACCAGGCCACTAATTTAGAACATCCTCAATAAATGTAGCATTATATTTATGTGTGTTACCATATATAGTATAATATAAAGTAATATTATATTCGTATATATTTTGCCTTTAATAACATCCTAGTTCATTAAGTATTCCTGGGCTGTATCTTCAAACCCAAAGTCTGAATTTTTTCTAATAATTTTGTTTTTGTTTTTGTTGTAACACAGCCCATAGGAAAAGGAAAGGTAATTTTTGGACTATGATGACACCACTTCTCACCTTGATCTTTCAGAAAAAACGTTAGAAGTAGGTTCAGGGGCCAGCAGGTAGTGTGGTGGTCCAGGTGCTGAACTCACACGCCCAGCTGCAGTTTCTCACTTTCTCATTTTCTCTCTCTCTCTCTGGTGAGCACATATGCCCTATGGCAAATTAAAATAATAATAATAATAACAACAATAAATTAAATCATTCTTTAAAAGAAAGGCAGTCTTTCAAAAAAATAAGATTCAGAATGAGTCATTGACCCTTGACTTTGTGTTAGAAAACCAATCTATCAATTAATGTGTACAATATCATGTTTTACATGGTGAAATGCTTATTATATTCAAGTAAATTAACATATTCATTATATCACCTAATGACCCCTCCATTTTTGTGTTCAGTGCATCTGATATCTACTGTCTTAGCAAAGTGCCAATGTATAACATAATATTAACTGTAGTCAGGAATCCCATTTAAAAAGCAAAATCTGGAACCAGCAGTTGGCATAATGACTATGTTGCTGGACTCCCATGTAGTCGACCATGGTTCGAGTCCCTGACCCCGGTGGCTTAAACTCATGCGGGGTGCGTGTATGTGCGTGCCCAAGATCCTGAGAGGAGAATGGAGGAGAAGGGATTGCAGCGTGGCCATCCCCCCTGAGGGGTGATTTGTCGCTTTCTGTCTCTCTGTCTGTCTCTTTCTGGCAAGCGCACACGCACTATAAATAAATAAATAAATAAATAAATAAATAAATAAATAAATAAGCAAAATCTACTTAGCTCCTGAGCTACATGCATTGTTTTTAACACTGTCAGAGAACAGCACAAATGGGATAACATTTTTCCCTGGTCATTTCAATACACTATTTTTAGTTGGGTTTTAATATTATTTTTTAATTTAAGTGAATCTGCCCCCCCTTTTTTTGGTGATATTAGTTCATTAGGAGCTGTGTGTGTGTGTGTGTGTGTGTGTGTGTTTAGTAGTATATTATGTATGCCATATTACTATTATGTATATGTGTATGTTTAATACATACATGTTATATGTGTGTGTATATTTACTGCATCTGTAAATATTAAATGCTAATTGAACACTCCTAAAAAGCATATTTCTGATAACAATTGTCTGCCCTTGAAACGAAATTTAAACTGATTTTCACATTCAAAATTATTTTACACTTTCTGTGTCAAAAGTAAATGATAGACATTATGACAATGTGTTAGCTGTTTTGAAAGGCCAGCAGGTTTATTTATTGAAATTTAATATTTTATTACTTTTCTATTTTAGTACCATTTCTGGCATTCTGTCAGTTTTTTTAGAAGTATAATCTTTTTTTTTTCTTTTTGTACCAGAAAAAAAGCTGTATGTAAAAAAGTTTCTTAACTTTTACTGAAGGAATTTATCTTTTTAGCTTTTCATACACATTCATATACTCTCAAACGGAAGTTTTACACCCCTACCAATGAAAGATTTCAATTAGCCAATGCAATTAGCAGTTGGGAAGTTATCTTTTCCAAATAGGCAGTCATTTCTGGAAACTTAAGTTTCAGCACACCCATTTAAACTCAAGTTTCCGGAGTATTCGTGCACTTGACAGAACGTTGCCAAGAACTCCATGATCTGTCAGCCAAAGAGTAGTTAACTTGATCTTCATGAAAGAAAGATACAGTTTAAAACTAGTTTATGCATATAACAAACATAGCCACAAGAAATAATTTTTTTCTAAATTAGCATTAAATGAATGATATCTATGTATCTTTTGTTACCTAAATTAGCATTAAGTGAAAGATATCTATGTATCTTTTGTTATCTCTTGAATGACTCCTGAAATTTTGTCAGCTGGGCACATAAAGAGCTCTTTGGTAAAGATTTGACTGGCAATGATTCTTAAGGTCTTTGATCGAAACTTCTAGAGAGTATCACAAATGCTTAATTGTTTTCTCATACTAATTTTTAAAATAAGAAGAAAATTTCATTACTTGAAATATGCTACTCCCTTAAACCTCAAATGCATCTCTAAATTTTCAACTATACTGCTAATTACATCTGCTGCACTAATTTCCATGATCAAGAATAGGAAACCTAAATGATATGTATGCTGACAGTGTGAGTGGCTTCTTTGTGTGGCTTTGTGTGGCTTCTATACTTAGATTTATACAGACACATATTAGTGATTTTATTAGTTTTCTAATTAGTTTCTAATGTTTTGGAGACTTACCACAACAATCACAGAAGGAAATGACATATTCCACCTAATCCATCCTTGGGTCATAACTTAAATACTGAACTCATGTATTAAGTCACAAGTAGCTCTACCCAATTTAGAGCTTCAAACTTATTGAACATTCAGGCTATTTTTATGTTTGAGGCTATTTTTTTTTCATTTGGTTAGTATTCCATTCATTACTGCCAAGAGAGTTTCAAATTTGGTTAAACGACAATATTCAACTGAATGCTCTTTATATAAGTCATATCTAACACAAAATGACATAGAAAGGATAAAAATAAAAAGACTGCTAGACACAAATACAAAAAGCAAGCAAACAAGGGTGACAAAGTGGGTTTATGAAAAAGCTCAATTCAAAGGATCAAATGGGAAAGAACAGAATTTTTTCCCCAAAATTCACAAGGGGTATAAACTTGTCATGATAAGGCTTTGTGATAAAATACCAGCATTAAAATGCATGAAACAAAATCTACACTTGACAAGGAAATTGCAGAAACATAATTTTAATGGAAGATTTTAAAACCTTCCTTGGGTTTTCTAAGAGCAAGGTGGCAATCAATAAGCATATAAGTATATAGAGAATTTATAGTAGATGACTGATAAGATTAAATTAGGAATATATATTACACTTTTGTTTCTATAACATTTTAATGAGATATTTAATCATTATTTCAACTTAGTTTTAGATATAGTGAACCAAAAATAAAATTTAAGTAAGTTTCAAAAGTTTAAACTTTCTGACCATAGGTGATAAAAAAAAATGGAAATTAATAATTAAGCAAACAAATACATATTCCAAACATTTATACATTTTATGACATCTCTCAAAAAATAATTAGGTCAAAAAAAATAAAGTATTTATATGACTTAAAAACATCAAATAAAATGAAACTATTATCAAACTATTGTGCTTTAGCAAAAGCTATTTGCATAGATAAATCCATTGCCCTATGTTATTTCATCATCAAATTAGAAGTAATAAAAATTATTTGTTCAATATAGCAGTTAAAAAATTAATAGACAAAACAAAAACTGGAAAAATATTTGATCTAACTCTGTCAAAAAATTCATATACTTAATATATGCAATAATCACAAAGGACCCCCCAAAATAATAAACCAACAGAAAAAAATTAAACTTTCTAGTTAATATAAAAAGGGCAACTTCATTTATTAGCAAAATGCAAATCAAAATATCATTGCAGTTCTATTTTCATCTTCAAATTGAAAAAAAATTACTAATGCTGACAAACATGCAGTGAGGAAAGCAATTTCATGTACTGCTAATAAAAGTGTCAACAGGAAGTATGTTTTCTAAAATTGAGCATTATATACCAATGGCTTTAATTATTTTCATATTCTTCTACTTTATTATCCAAATACATTCAACTATTATTCAAGAAACATCAGAATTAAATACAAAAATGTAAACATTTTCATTTCAGCATTATTTATAATAGCAAATACATAAGAATAGGGTAAATGTCCAACAATTGGGGAAACATTAGGTCAATTATGATCTGCCATTGAGATGCAATTTTTTTTGAGAGGTTTTTGCTATAGGGTGTGTGTGCTCACCAGAAAGACAGAGAGACAGAAAGACAGAAAGCAAGAAATCACCCCCCAGGGAGGATGGTCATGCTGCAATCCCTTCTCCTCCACTCTCCTCTCAGGATCTTGGGCACGCATGCACACGCACCCACTGTGAGTTTAAGCCACCAGGTCCGGGACTCAAACCATGATCTACTACATGGGAGTCCAGCGACATAGCCATTATACCAACTGCTGGCCCCAAGAGATGCAATATTTTTTATTTATTAAAACCTATGTTATGGGAACCAGCAGTTAGCGTAATGGCTATGTCACTGGACTCCCATGTAGTCGACCGCGGTTCGCGTCCCAGACCCGATGGCTCAAAACTTACGCCAGGCGCGCGTGCGTGCGTGCCCAAGATCCCGAGAGGAGAATGGAGGAGAAGGGATTGCAGCATGACCATCCTCCCTGGGGGGTGATTTCTCGCTTTCTGTCTCTATGTCTCTCTCTGTCTGTCTGGCAAGCGCACGCACCCTATAGGAAAACCTCTCCAAAAGAAATAAATAAATAAAATAAATAAATAAATAAATACCTATGTTATGTAATGATCTGGGGAATGATTTGGGAATATTGATAATATAAGTGGAAAAACATCAGAATGCAATATTACCTGGCCAATTCTAATCTTCATTGAGTTAATGGATGTTATTAACGAGAAGACAACACAACAGAACATTTAGCTGAGTGACAAAATGACAAGGATATGAAATATGTGGAAGGGATGGCATTAGTAACTAGGTAGTGTTTTTAGGACCCAAAGTGAAAACACTTCTTTTAAAGAGGTGCAAAGTGTATTGCTGTATCTACACAAATGGTTTGTTTTTGCTTTTGCAGTGCCTTGTCCAGTAGGAGAATTCTCCCGTTCTGGGTTAATGCCCTGTTATGGGTGTCCTCAAGACTATTACCAACCTAATCCAGGGAAGTCTTTCTGCCTATCCTGTCCTTTTTATGGGACAACACCCATTACTGGGGCCACGTCTATCACGGATTGTTCAAGTAAGACAACATACTTCATTTCTTTTTTTTTTTTTTTTGGAGAGGTTTTTGTCATAGAGCGCATATGCTCACCAGAAAGACAGAGAGAGACAGAGAGACAGAAAGTGAGAAATCACCCCCTGTGGAGGATGGCCATGCCACAATCCCTTCTCCTCTATTCTCCTTTCTGGTCTTGGGCATGCACACACAAGTGCCCAGCGTGAGTTTAAGCCACCGGGTCCAGGACTCAAACAACGGTCGACTACATGGGAGTCCAGCAACATAGCCATTACACTAACTCCTGGTCCCAACATACTTCATTTCTTACACAGTCCTATGGAGGAGACTTACTTTTGCTTGTCTCAGCTTAGTTCTGAATATTACAGTGGATTTTGATGTCTGGACTTGTTAAATTGTTCTGAGATCTTTTTGACGACAGGAATCAGAGTTGTTTCAGAACTAGTGAACTAGGTTATATGCAAATTTCTAAGAGTCTAGGATTAAATGACCTATACCTTCCATCTCTGTGATTTTTTTTTAATACTAATGAAACCAAATATATGTGACTTTACCCACTCTAACAACCAGATTCTTGACCATAGCATTCATTTACTTACTGGCTACATCAACCACATACTGATACGCTGTTCTAATATTTTTCTATTAATTTGATTAGGTTTTGGTTCAACGTTCTCAGCAGCAGAGGAAAGTATAATGCCCCTTGCCTCTCCTGGACATATCAAAAAGAAATATGAAGTTAGCAGTCAGGCAAGTCCATTTTTTTATACAATTTTCTCTAGTGAATTGGTTGAGAAACAATTTGTCATTTTCCATGCCACACAGAGGAAAACTACCACATGTTAAACTTGAATTGACCAAGACTCAGGAATATTATATTGGGTCGTTGGGAAAGCCACGACAAATTTTTGCATAGAAAAACACATCATGACTTTCCCGATGCTCTACTAAATGAATAATTGTATTTACTTATGACTCCTAATAAGAACTTTCAAAAATGCAACATTAGAAGTTTCAAGTACCAAAAAACAAGACTTCTTCCCAGCAATATCTGGCATCAAGAATATGTAGAGTGGGAAGCCTTTTGATTCACTAAAATTAACAATTACCACAAGCATAACCCATCATTTGAAAAAGGGCATTTGATTTAGCCAAAGGCCTTTTCTGATTGGCAGGAAGTTACTCAACTTTCATAAAGATTATTTAAAATCTTTTGCCAACCAACCAAAAAAAAAAGTAATTTCATAGAATAAAGTGTGAGTTAAAAAAAAAAAATTAAGGAACATAACTCAAGAGTATAACTAAGCCAATTGATTTCTATTTGGTTCTTAAAGACTAGTTGTCCGGGACCAGCAGACGGTGTAATGGTTATGTTGCTGGCCTCCCATGTAATTGACCACAGTTCAAGTCCTGGATCTGGTGGCTTAATCTCATGCAGGGCACATGTGCGTGCATGCCCAAGATCCTGAGAGGAGAATGGAGGAGAATGGATTGCGGCATGGCCATCCCCCTGGGGGTTGGTTTCTTGTTTTCTGTCTCTCTGTCTCTCTCTGTCTCTCTGGCGGGTACACACGCCTTAGAGCAAAAAATTAAAATTAAAAAAACTCTTAGAAAAAAAAAAAACTAGTTGTCAAATTATATTTCTAATTTTAACTTCCTATAGCGTACTCTAAATGTAATCACTTGTTAGGTCTTTAAAAATCATGTTTGAAACTGAACTTAGTAGACATAGAAATTTTAGGAATCCCTAGAGCCGTGGTTCTGGAACCTGGAAGTGTAATAGAATCTCCTGGCCAGCTCTAAAGATAATGATGCACAGAAACTGCTCTTCAAAATTGTGATTTAACTGGTCTGGCATGGGGCCCTGTCCTTTTTTGGGGGGGAGTTTGGTTTTGTTTTAAATATAATTATCCATTTCTTCCAGTGGAGAAGGAGATGGACAAAGAGAGAGAGAGAGAGAGAGACCCTTAGCAGGGTCCTCATGCCATGCTCTATCCTTGTTCCAGTCAGCCAGGGTCACAGGCAAGCCCACTTTCCCAGTGTGCACTGGGACGGCCTCAGGATACAAAGACCACCCCAGGAGCTTCCCCTGTGTCCTCAGCTTTGAGGAGCATTGAGTTGCCACTGTGACATCAGAGCTGGCCCTTAGTATATGTTTAAGACATTGTCAAATGTATTCTAACATGGAGTCGGCATGTAGGAACTCTGAACAGAGTTTCCCAAACCATGGTTCAAGATTAATACACGTTACTTGTGCCCGTATACCGCAGGCCTCACGGTGACTGGGGCAGCAATCCAGCTGTCTTGAGTGAACTGGACACAGGAGCCAGCTCTCTAATTTGCACACCTTCTTATTCTCGAGTCAGGATTGCTGTGAAATGAAGAGAGTGTTTTGTCTCTGAAAGATTTCTTTTCTGCCATCGGTAGGTTTTCCACGAATGCTTCTTAAATCCTTGCCACAACAGTGGAACCTGCCAACAACTTGGGCATGGTTATGCGTGTCTCTGTCCACCTGGATATACAGGTAATATAGAGAAATGCAAATTTTACCATATTTTTATATGAAAACACCGTGACTTGCAGAATCAAACTTTAGAACATTAAAAATTGTGCAAAAGGACTTTAAAAGGTGAATGGAAAATGGAATTAAAGTACACATTTATTTTGGCTCAAAAAAATTATCAAAACCCATGCATTTTTTATAATAGGCATTTTATATGAACTTTTGAAGACCTCTGAGATCCTGTAAAATACATTAGACCATAACAATGCATAAAAACTTTGTTGAACAAGATGAACATATAGGTAAGAAAGTATACATACCCCATAAATGAGTTCTCCCTGTCCAATGTGGAGGAAAAATAATCATCTTCTCTCTGAAAAACTCATACTGTAACTCAAAATGTCAGTTGGAGTACAGTTCTAGGAGCCCAGTCCAAGATTTCCTTCTAACACAAATGACACTGAACATATTGTGGAGCAGATTGTCTAGCATAAACATTTTTAAACAAACTTTCAGCTTCTCTCATTTGCTGGACACCCCCCCGGGGCTTCTTGTGGATTGCCATGACTTGTTACTTTGTTACTATCATTCTTGAAGCTGTGCTTTAAAAAACAGATGGTTTGGGATTGGATTATATAGGCATTGTGCAGAAATTATGTTTTCTTGCAGTTTAGTTCACATTTCAGTTGAGCTCAGAAAGACAATTTTTTTCTTTTAATTAGCACATTGTATTTTTTATTTGTATTCCAGCATTGTACATATAATGCATAATATGGTCTTTCAAAGTTTGCACATAGTTCATGATAGTCAAATCAAGGATATTACCCTATACATCGATTTCAACAGAGAACTTTAATTCTTTTGTCTGTTAAATGCAGAGACACAATTTTTAAGGGGAATTAAACTAGGAATACCTTGAAATTGCAATGAATTTCAATTAATTCCCTGTGTGCTTTTAGCCCATTTTTGGCATTTTATAAATGCTGTGCAACATACTTGGAAGTCTTTAATGAGAAAAATTACATTTAAAGAAAGATTGACATTTAAAAAATAGATTTAAAGAAATGATTCACCAAAAGTATTCACCACAATGTAACAATAGGAAAGTGGGAAAACAAAATATACCAAAGACTATCAAGACTATTGGCATTTTCAAGACCAACAGATGGCATAGTGGTTACGTCACTGGACTCCCACATGACTGACCATGGTTTGAGTCCTAAACCTGGTGGCTTGAAAAATCACACTGGGTGCATGTGCATGCGTGTGTGTGTGTGTGATTTCTTGCTTTCTGTTTCTTTGTCTCTGTCTGTCTCTCTGGTGAGCAAACATGCCCTATAGCCAAAATCTCTAAAAAAGCATTGGCATTTTGGTTGAGCTGCAGTGGTACATGGGGTCAGGTGCTGCTCAGCAAGGCTGAGAACACATGGTAGGCCCAAGTTCAGTTCCCAGAGCAACCAAACCAGGCCAGTGATGGTAGCACCTACCTATAATCACATGTGTACATATGGGTATTTCACATTTTATAACTGGCTTGCATGCACATGTATACATGTGTGAATTTTTATAAAAATTTTCATCCTGCCATTTCATAAGAAATAAGAATCATTTCCAGAAATTCTGTAAATGCCTGGCGGTAGAGAGAGGACATGATAGAAGGCAATGGTTCTCAAACATCGATGTGCATCAGAATCATCCAGAAAGCTTGTTAAAACACAGATTGCTGGGCCATAGCCCTGGGTTTCATGATTCAGTAGGTCTAGGGTTTGGCCTGAGAATTTCCACTTCTGTTGCATTCCCAGATAATGGTAGTGTTAGTGGGGGGAAAACACAGGTTTCCAGCAGCCCCTAGGAAGCACGTGTGCCCCTATGGGAAGATGTAGCCCAACCTAGGACACCTGTCAGAGGAGCCGAGATCTGGCAGGAGTGAACCCCACCTCCAGCCCTTAGCCAGGTGACCCTGGTAGCAAGTATACATGCCTTCATATTTTCACTTGGCAGTTACCATAATTTCTGTCTCCATCTTATGCTTCTAGGTTTTCCTCTCTTCCCTATTTCTAATTCAAGATCTTTTACTTTTTGTTTGTCTTTTCACTATAAGGCATGTGCAGTTGCCACAGGGGGCAGGGAGTGAGAAATCATCCCCCCGGGATGGCCTCCCCACAGTTCTTTCTACTCCATTCTCCACTCAGGTTTTTGAGCATGCGCATACACGTGCCTGGCTTCATTTTCAAACCACTGGGTCCGGGACTTGAACTGGAGAATCAGTCACATAAGTTCCAGCTGGTAGTACTTAAGGAATATTGCCTTTTCTTCACTATTACCCTCTACAAATTCAGATTATTGAAACAATTACCATAGATATCTTAGCCTTGTTCCTGCTATCCTTCCCTTTCATTGTCCTTCCGTGTCTGGTTTGCTTTTTAGGCTTAAAGTGTGAAATCGACATTGATGAGTGCAGCTCCCTGCCATGCCTCAATGGCGGAGTCTGTAAAGACCGAGTTGGGGACTTCATTTGTGAGTGTCCATTGGGTTACACAGGTAAGGGGAAAGTTTCTTTTTGGAATATAAACTTTGTCTGAGGGCCAGCGGATGGTGTTGCATCGCTGAACTCTCACATGGCTGACTGGTTCAAGTTTCAGACCTGGTGGCTTGAAGCTCATGCCTGGTGCATGTGCGTGCAGGCCCAGGATCCCCGGAGGAGAATGGAGGAGAAGGGATTGCAGCATGGCCATCTCCCTGGGGGTGGTTTCTCACTCTCTCTCTTACTGTCTCGCTCACTCTGGCCAGCGCATGCACTCTAAGGCAAAAACAAACAAGAAACAGAAAAACACCTCTTAAAAAATAAAAGGATTTCATCATTGAGGAGGGGAATGTGAATGTTATTGTTAGGGGAGGGGAATTTGAATGTTATTGTTAGAACATATTCACAAGTTATTATCAATAATAAGGTATATTCAGCCAAGTCACTTGTCCAGCTTCAGTTTTTCTGCGCATGTTCCCACCTACTCTTTCGCTTGGGTATATGGTTGCACTTCCATATACTGTATGAGCATGGCGCAGGTATCTGTATCCAAAGTTCCAGATATCCACTTAGTGACACCTAGGGTTGAACTTGTAAAGCCTTAGAGCCAGACTATTATATATATATATAATATATATAAATATATATATATATATATATATTTACACACACTATATAGTATATACAATATGTGTGTGTTTATGTGTGTGTTTGTATATAAAAGACATTAAATATATTTTACTATTTACTAGACATTAAATGTGCTATGTAGATTTGTTGTGAGAAAAAATTCATTATGGTATGTATGAAAGTTCAGATTTTATGTTAGATTTTTCTGTTCTCAAAAACCAAGTTTCGTTAGTGACATTTTCTTTTCTGTTTTTTTTTTTTTAATTAGAATTTATTTATTTTTGCCAGAAGGCATGTGTGCTCACCAGAGCCAAAGAGACGATTAGAGAAAGAGGGAGAGGGAAAAGTAGCTCCCGTGAAGAGTGGTCATGCCGCAGTCTCCGCTCCATTCCTCCCTCCTTTCGGGGCTCTGGGACATACACACACATGGCCCAGCATGTTTTTCAAGCCACCAGTTCAGGGATTTGAACCACTCAGGCAATCATGTGGGATCCAGCCACCTTAACCACCATAGCAGGGCCAGCCTGACATTTTCTTTTAGCTCATGTTCATGTTGCTAAGGTACATAAATTATTAGATGCGTGCTACGTAATTCCATGAGTTGTAAACTTAAGCATCCTCAACTCTTCAACACCAGGAGGTTTTGTACATATGTACTTGAATTTGAAGAGTTATGGTTTTAGGCTCACTTTTGTGCTGCCCTTAGTGACATCACAGACCTCCCACTTCGGATCTCAGTTTCAGCTGTGTCAAATCCAGGACCTTGAACTACATCAATTATTCTCAAATTATGTTCACACAGAAGATGGAACTGCTGTGCAGAAGTTCAGCCATGTTTTCTCAATTTCAGAACAAAATGTCTTATGTGTGTTATTTCTCCCCAATGTTTTGCCAATCTGTAACTGTTACCTCTTAACTGTAAAAAAAGAAGAAATCAACTATGGATGAACAAATAGCAACCAAATAATAAGAGAAAAATTTTAAAACAAAATTACACTTACCTGAACTAAAAAATTATGGCCAAATACTCATGGTTATCATTTTTCACTGCATGCTGGAAAATGTTTCTCACTGCAAAATGTTTGCAGGTCACAGAAAGAAAGAAATCATTTTTAAAAATCATATTTGGCAAATAGCAATATTTTTCCACAAATATGTACGCCAGAATTTTTCACAAACATATCAGCTCTATTCTTTTTTTTTTTTTAATTGCTTAATTTATTTATTTAATTTGACCAAAGACGGACCTATTGAGAGAAAGGAAAGTGAGAAAGCAAGGAACTAGGCCCGGGATTCAAACTGTGGTCGGCCATGTGGGAGTCCAGCACCCCTAACCACCACGACACCTGCCAGCCCCTCAGTTCTATTCTTACACCTGAACAATTTGCTTGAATAAAGTCTTTTTAGGGTGATAGCCTTGTAGCCTAATGGTTAAGGGGGCCAAATCCTACATGGCCAACTGCAATTTGAATCCTGGTCCCAGCAGCTTGAAAAACACAGCAGGTGCCTCTGCCTAGTACTCAGAATGCTGACAGGATGGGGAAGTGGAGAAGGGACTGCAACATAACCACACTCCACGGTGAAGTGCTTTCTCCCTCTCCCTTTCTCTCTGTCTCTCTCTCTGGAGAGTGCACCCACCCTCTGGCACTGAAAAGAATAGCAGTCAAGGGGCCAGCAGGTAGTGTGGAAGGCGCTGGATTCCCACATGCCTGACTTCAGTTTGAGTCCTAGACCTGGTGACTTGAAAACCATGCCAGTGTGTTTGCATGCATGCCCCAAACCCCAAGAGGAGAAAAGAAGAGAAGGGATTACAGGGTGGCCATCCCTCCTGGGGGTTATTTCTCACTTTCCCTGTCTCTGTCTATCTTAGATGAACAGATGAGTCTCTTTAGGTTTACCTAAAAAAGATAAAAGTCCTTTTAGATTTTCTCCAGCTCAAAGATTCCATGATTACTCACAGGTCAACTGTGTGAGGAAAACATCAATGAGTGTCACTCCAGTCCTTGTTTGAATAAAGGAACCTGCGTGGACGGTGTGGATGGCTATCGCTGCACGTGTGTGAAAGGATTCACAGGTACGATATTTCCACGCTTCCTGCTTTGTCTTAAAATCCCATAAGGCACCAAAATGAGTGTATTTTATCCCAATATATGTTAATGTCTTTTATGTGTGACATTGATGACTATTGTGATTATATAAGAAAAAGTCCTCATTTTTGAGGAAATACACACTAAAATGCTTGGGATAAAAAGGCATAAACCCTGCAATTTACTTTTTAGCACTCTACTTTTTTTTTTTTTTTTTCTGAGAGGCTTTTGCTATCGGGCGTGTGTACCCACCAGAAAGACAGAGAGATAGGAAGCGAGAAATCACCCCCCAGGTGGGATGGCAACGCTGCAATCCCTTCTCTTCCATTCTCCTCTCAGGATCTTGGGCACCCATGTACACCCGCCTGGTGTGAGTTTAAGCCACCGGGACTCAAACCATGATCAATTATGTGGGAGTCCAACAATGTGATCAATACGCCATCTGCTGGTCCCATTAGTAGTTTTCTTTTAACAATTTACCTTTAAACAGTTCAAAAAAAGGTGGTGTGTCTGTGTGTGTTTAGACAAATTTTCAAGATGGAATTGGACATGAAACATGTTAGATTATATTGCAAATAGATGCAAAGTAGTATGGTTTAAAAATGTATACATAGTTGATAAGGAGGAAAACCAAGAAAGAAAATGGCCAGTGAAAGAAAAAGTCATGGTCAAAGAAAAAGGAAAGTTTCAAAGTAAATTTACTTGTTTTTTTTTTTTATTGTTATTATTTTAAGTTTATCATCATAGAGCAAGTTTGCTCACCCAAGAAAGATGGGGAAAGTGAGAAACCACCCATTAGGGAGGATGGCCATGCTGCAATCTCTTCTCTTCCATTTCCCCCCTGAGATTTTGGACCTGCATGCGCACTACCCAGCATGATTTTCGTCACCAGGTCCAGGACTCGAACCTGGTGGTCGGCCATGCGGGAGTCCAATGCCTTAATCACCATTCCACTGCTGGCCCTACTTACTTTATTTTTTAACATTATCTCCGTTCAATTTCTATTACAAATCTTAGTTTCAAAAAAAAGTAAGATAAAAAGAGGAGAGTGTGGGGCCAGCATATGGTGTTATAGTTACGGTGCTAGACCCCACATGGTCAGCTCCAAGGTTGGAGTCCTGGATCCAGCAGATTGGAGAACATGCTGGGCATGTGTGCATGTGTGCCCAAATCTCAAGAGGGTAATGGAGGAGAAGAGATTGCAGTATGACCATCTCCCCTGGGGGTGATCTCTCTCTCTCTCTCTCTCTCTCTCTCTCATGCATGCGCACATGCAAATGCCCTATAGCAAAAAAAAAAAAAAAAACAAAACAAAGCAAAAACTTTCCAAAAAGGAGATTATCAAAAGCAGAGAGTCCTAAAACAACTTTCCATACCCAGAGCTCATTACATAGGTCTCATATGTGTTTTATAGACCAGTGGCGCTGCAGCCTCATTCCCATCCTTTAGAAGCAGCACTCACTAAGAGATCAACAGCTCAATCACAGCTTTCCCAGGGAATTAATCATTCACGCTTCTCTCCTCACTCACCCGCAGGCCTGCACTGTGAAACAGATATCAACGAATGCCAGCCAAGCCCCTGCCTAAACAACGCCATCTGTGAAGACCAGGTTGGGGGTTTCTTGTGCAAGTGCCCGGCTGGATTTTTGGGTACCCGGTGTGAAATAAACATAGATGAATGTCTCAGTCAGCCCTGCAAAAATGGAGCTGCTTGTAAAGACGGTCCCAACAGCTTCAGGTAAAAGGCTGAGTCTGGATCATCCCACTATATTTTTTCCCCTTACTGTTGTGTCATTCTGCCACCCTGGAATGCAGTATGATTTTGAGTCTCGCATCTGTAATTGTCAAATACAGGCCCAAGGATAAGCTATGGTAGAATCTCCCTGACACCTGAGGCTTTCTTCACTAAGCCAAGAATGGAACCTGTCATTCTTAAATTTCTATTAAATGTCATTTGATGTTTTAGTTAGCATGCATATGAATTGTCCATATTTGGGGGGTGCAGTGTGATTTTTGAATATATACATATAGGGTTGTAGAAGAGCCATGATGTATTTTTTCTATGTTTTACTATGCAAAAATGTGTCATGACTTTTCCAATGACCCAATATAATATGTAGTGATCAAATCAGAGTATATTCATTTTATGTTTGCTATATGGATAGTCAAAAGTGAGGAAGCAGTGTTTGAATATAGTAAAAACATATGTAATGGGGGCCAGACTGATTTGGATCTTAATTCAAGTTCTAATGCCTATAATTATGTAATCCTGAGTATTTTTTCCTTCTCATACTTTATGCTCCCTTCTTAGAGATTTGCAATCAAATGAGCGTGGGAAATTACATTTGGCTCTGGTTTATTTATTCCAGTGGCTGCTAAGTATTCCATTACATGATTACGCCATGATTTATTTTTCATTCCCCTCTACATAAACATTTAGAAGGATGCACTTGTTACACGGGTTCTTGTGCATTCTGTGCAGTAACCTGCTGGAGGCAATGACAAGAAGTGGACATATGGGACTCCAGGAAGACAAGTTCCTGACTTCTCTTGACATTACCAAATTGTAGCTCTATTCACTTTTATGGTATTTCCTATTTCCTAATGCCCTTATCAACATTTAACATTATCAGACATATTTTCTACTCTGATGTTTTTAAATGCTTTGTTGATGCTACAAAGACTGTACTGATTAAGACAAGATCTGAAGTTGGCTTCAAAATCCACTTCACTACTTAGTAAGACATAGACAAATGACCCTTTCTGAGACACAACGTAACTCATCGTATAATGTCAGTAATACTAGCATTACCTCATTATTATAAAGACTCGATTTCCATACAGAAAGCTTTTGGAACAGCACCTCAACCTTTTGTATTTGCAGTCATTGTGGGGGGAGAAACCAGATGTGTGAATTATCTATCACCTGGGCCAGAACTACTTTCTATTTTGTCTTGGCTACTGTAACCTTCGTAATCCAGGCCATTGTAAATAGGTTTAATCTGATGAAGTAGAAACAGGAACCAAGTTCTGCCTCAATGTGGAAGGTATGTTTCAATATGTCACCTGTCAAGGTCTTTGGAGACAAGGTTATACATGGGAGACTTACTCTCATATCCTCCGCAACTGTTCTGATTGTAAAGTTATATGTCGTTTTCTTTCAGATGCCAGTGTGTGGCTGGCTTCAGCGGGTCATACTGTGAACTGGATATCAATGAATGTCAGTCTAACCCTTGTAAAAATCAGGCCACCTGTGTGGATGAATTAAACTCTTACAGTTGTAAATGTCGGCCGGGATTTTCAGGCAGCCAGTGTGAAACAGGTATATATGAACTCAAAGTTATTAATAACAACACTAAATATAATAATATAATAACGATATTCTCTTTATCTGTACCCAAGCACTGCCTGAATGTCAAAAATACGAAACACTCTTTATTTATTTCATCTTCACAGATATCCAGTAAACTAGGTACTATGGTGATTACTTCTAGTAGCAAAGATGAGGAACTTGAAGCTGAGAAATGTAAGGAGGGAAATGGAGAAAATTACACTTAGCAGAGCTTTTCACGTTCTCTATGTTTAGAAAGAACACTTGATAAGTCACTTGACATAGGAGGTGGTTGAGAAATGATAGCTGAATGCTAAGCTGCCTTCTCTGGAGACCGGAGTCTGTAAGCTTCGGCACTTTTGTTGAGGGGGAACGCAGGTTTGGGGAAGAGGTGAACTGCTCACAAAATAGAGAAAGAGCAGAGTCCTGAGTAGGGGCAGGATATTGCCTTTGTAGTTACCCACTTCCTTTTCTCCTGCAACAGCAATTATTGCCACTCTACTGAGTCATTCTTTCCTTAGAGAGAGAGATTTTTGCTATAGGGTGCATGTGCTTGCTGGAGAGTCAGAGAGACAGTAAATGAGAAGTCACCTCCTGGGGAGGTGGGGGGGTGGCCACACTGTAATCCCTTCTTCTCCATTCTCCTCTCAGGATTTTGGGCACACATGCCCAGTGTGAGTTTCAAGCTCTGGGTCTGGGACTTGAAATGCAGCTGGCCATGTGGGAGCCCAGCACCTTAACCACCATGCCACCTGCTGGCCCCCCCAAGTCATTCTTATTAGCATATAGATGTGCTTTAGTATCTCTCAGCTTTAATAACACCCTAGTCCACTTCTTTTACTAAGTATTTTTTCTATCTTGTATACTTACTGATTATGTCAAAGACTGTGCTATGCAAACTAGCCAATATGTCCCTTTTCCCCTTTACGGTAGTTAGGGGTACTTCTTCAGAGAGGGGACTAAGATGGGAGTTAGACCCCAATGACAGGTAGATCATTGTGTAAGGGCCTTGACAGGAAATCATGTGTTATTCTTCGTAATGAAGTCTCTGTGTCTTTCCTCTTTGGTCTGGTTAGTGGACAATAAACACCTGTTTTACATGTCTCAAAAGAATTCATGACTCCTTGCTAATAAGACAGGCAATAGAGATGTTGACCACATAGACAGGGGGTAAGATGGCGGGAAGCCCAAAATGGAGTCACAGTGGCTAAGATGTCACGGGCAAAAGCTGGCATCTTTGGGACTCAAAGCAACTATAGATTAGGGCAACAGTTTCTAGACCTTGTGAAGAATAGGATAGTAAATTCCTAATACTACCATATAACTGTATGTGTGTATGTATGTATGTATATAGATAGATAGATAGATAGAGATTTTTTTGAAGAGGCTTTTACCTTAGGGCACATGGTGTGTACTTCCCAGAGAGTAACTACGTTCTCAAAATCCACTTTCTTATCAGAGAGCCAGCCCATTGCTCGGACTGCTAGGTAAAAACCCCTTGCCTCAGCTCCTCTTTGGCAACCCATTTTTGGGACCCCTCCTTACTTGGGAGCTCTGTTCTTCCTTCCCTCTCTCAATAAATTCTGCTTTGCTATCCTAAATAAATAAATAAAGAGTGTGCTATGTATTTTGTAAACAAAAATGTATTTAATTTGAAACTGCTTCTAAGATAAACAATCCTGTTTGCTGAACGAGCTGCTCTGACGTCTGACGTAGCACGGCTTACCTGCCGTTTTCCTTAGCCAACTGGAAGTGCCTTGCGAGTGTCACAGTCTGCACACTTCTGTTATTCATTGCAGAACAGTCTACGGGCTTTAACCTGGACTTTGAGGTTTCTGGGATCTATGGATACGTCATGCTAGATGGTGTGCTTCCATCTCTCCATGCTATAACCTGTGCATTCTGGATGAAATCCTCTGACATCACCAACTATGGAACGCCAATCTCCTATGCACTTGAGAATGGCAGTGACAATACCTTCCTCCTGACGGACTATAATGGGTAAGCAGAGGGTCAGGATGGCTGTGCTGCACACAGTGTTAGGAGCGATATTGGTGTGACTGATGCCATGTCAGGACTGATACTGGAGGGAGTCAGATGCTCCAGCAGCACAGGAGAGTCATGATAATCAAACAGAGCATCTGGATGTGTCCTGTAAGAAGGCAAAGTTTGTTTGTTCTTTTCTTTTTTTTTTTTAAGTTGACAGAGAGTGTGTGTACTCACCAGAAAGACAGAAAAAGAAGAGAAAGCATCTACCAATGGTGCATGTTCACACAGCAATTCCTCCTCCTCCATTTTTGCATTCTGCTGGGATTTGGGACAGGCATGCACAGGTGCCTGGCGTGTTGGTTTTTTTGTTTGTTTGTTTGTTTTCCTGAGAGGTTTTTTTGTTTGTTTGTTTTGTTTTTTTTTGCTGTAGGGCACGTGTGCTTGCCAGCCAGACAGAGGGAGACATAGAGACAGAAAGCGAGAAATCACCCCGCAGGGGGGATGGTCACGCCACAATTCCTTTTCCTTCATTCTCCTCTCAGGATCTTGGGCACACACACACACGCGCCCAGCGTGAGTTTTAAGTCACCGGGTCCGGGACGCGAACCGCGTCCAGCGGTTAGCCATTACGCATAGCCATTACGCTAATTGCTGGTTCCCGTTTGTTTGTTTTTTGAGAGGCTTTTGCTATAGGGTGCGTGCGCTCGCCAGACAGACAGAGACAGACAGAAAGCGAGAAATCACTCCCCGGGGAGAGGGACAGGCCGCAATCTCTTCTCCTCCATTCTCCTCTTAGGATCTTGGGCACACACACACGCGCCCGGCGTGAGTTTTAAGTCACCGGGTCCGGGACGCGAATCGCGGTCAACTACATGGGAGTCCAGCAACATAGCCATTACGCTAACTGAAGTCCCCCTGGCGTATTTTTCAAGTCAGCAGAGCTAGGATTTGAACTGTGGTTGGCCATATGGGATCTGTCTCCCTTAACCACTAGGTTATAGGGTGGCCCTTGAAGGCAAATTTGTAGTGATAATACCTCATGTATGTATGGGTTTGCTGTTTACTAAGTATTTGCATATGTATTCACTGAATTTGTTGACCTGAGAAGCTAGTACCTATTTTATACATAGCAAAACAAGGTTTCAGAACAACTAAATGATTTTCCCAAAATCTCACACTTTGGGAGTGGCAGATCTAAGTCCCGAACTCTGACTCTAAGACTGATGCCGTTTCTTTACATTGTGGCACTCTGAAGGGTAAAGGGTTTCAGAGACATTATGGACCCATGGGACTCATGTGATGAGCATGAATCAGTCTTCAAACTCAATGTGAAAGCTGATACCCCTGTATTTATTTCAGATCAATTCATTTTAACTCTGGGGCCTCTGCCCTCTGGGCTGTCAGGAAAGTCACCTTCTGTTAGACCCAGAGTTTTGCTAAAGAGCCACAGACTTGGGCAGGACTCCCATCACTGGTTCACACTGTTCACCCCTGAGCTGTCCTCTGCCTAGGCCTCTGTGGTCCCTTCAAGACCACTGTTCTTTTCCACATGTGCAATTTGTGGTAAGCCTGCAACGTTATACCTTCCATCTGGATAGATTCTAGCATGCACTATCTGGTCCTTTCCACGAAGATCCACCCAAATCATTAGCCTACTAGTGAGCAAGCTACAGGCCTCAGACACCCATGGATATAAAGAGAGACGCTATTGCTTGCTCGAATGGGGGGAATGGGAAAATGTAGAAAGGAAATGACAGTGTAAAATATTTTCTCATAAAGGTCTTTGAATAGAATCTGGTAAGATGCTGGTAGAGGCATTCAATACATGTTTATCTCTTTACCAACTTCCCCCCAGTCATTTATTTTTCTCCTTTTGCTATTAAAGATTTTTACTTTGAACTACTGATGATCTTTGTCCTTTCTGTAGGTAATATAGTCATTGGAAACTCTTTGGTTTAGCAATCCTTGATTAATTCCAATTACTCTTTTCTTTACATCAGTACACTCTGTCTGCCATGTGACTGTTTTGACAGCTGACTTGGTCCGTTTGGACTGCTACAACAAAATATCATAGACTGGGTAGTTTATAAACAACACAAATGTGTCTGTCACAGTGTGGGAGGGTAGGAAGTCAAAGATCAGGCCACCGACTGATTTGGCGTTTGGCGCTGGCCTGCCTTCTGGTTCATAGGTGGCACCTTCTTGCTCTCTTTCTCAATTAGTGGAGAGGCAGTAAGTCTCTCTGGGGCCTCTTTCATGGGTGCACTCATCCCATTCTGACCTAATCACCTCCCAAAGGCCCCACCACCTAATACCATCACATTGGTGGTTAGGTTTCAACATATGCTTTTTGAGAGGCCACAGATATGCTGACCATACCAGCAACTGTGAGACAGACTGACTTTCGACAAGACATCTGAAGTTTGTTTTTAGTCTTAGGAAACATAAATTCTAGAGGAAAGATATCAGTCTGACATTTGTACAACTCTCATTCCTTCCATTCTCCACTCACTCTCTCCAAAACAATCAGTTGGTTAATTGTCTCAAATTGAAGCAATTTCTCTTGGCTCATTCTAAGACTTTTCCTACCCCTTGGTATGTAAGAAATGCAAACCAATTTTAATGAGCTACAATAAAGTATAATAAGTAAATCAAACCTGCCCTATGAAGTAAGACCACATGGAAAAAAAGGAGTAATGGGTTTACCCAAAGCACTTTACCCACAAGAAAAAGAGAGAGAGAGAGAGAGAGAGAGAGAAGAAAAACAGTAACATGTCCCACAGAAAGAACTGCAAAATAAGATCAATGACGGTCTTCCCTGGAATCTTTCTCTCCACAGCTGGGTTCTTTATGTGAATGGCAAGGAAAAGATAACAGACTGCCCCTCGGTGAACGATGGCAGATGGCATCACATTGCAGTCACCTGGACAAGTGCCGACGGAGCCTGGAAAGTCTATATCGATGGGAAATTATCTGATGGTGGGTCTGGCCTCTCTGTGGGTTCGGCAATACCAGGTATGTCTTAGCAAAATGAGCGTAACTCGGTTAGGCTCTAGAGGCGGTGGGGCTTAGGTGGACATCAGGTTTGCTAGGTTTGCTGTCCTTAGTTTGAACAGAGGTCTGTAGTTCTCTCTCTCACTTACTGTCCTCTGACTATCCTGAGTGTAAGTTGTTAGGTTTTTTTAATTGTCTTTTTGGTTTTGTTTGTTTGTTTATGAGACAGATTTTTGCTACAGGGCATGTGTGCTTGCTGGAAAGACAGAGGCAGAGAGACAGAAAGTGAGAAATCACCCCCCAGGAGGGATGGCCATCCCGTCTTCTCCAGTCTCCTCTCTGGATTTTGGGCACATGCACACACACATACACACACACACATACACACGCCTGATGTGAATTTGAAGCTGCTGGGTCGGGGACTCAGACCTCAGTCAATCTTGTGGGAGTCCAGCAACGTAACCATTACGCCATCTGCTGGTCCTTATCCTGAGTGTAAGTTCTCTAAAGTTCTTAAATGCTGTGTCCTAGGTGAGCTGTGTGACTTTTTTTTTTTTTTTTGAGAGATTTTCACTGTAGGGCGCCTGCGCTCGCCAGACAGAGAGAGACACAGAGACAGAAAGCGAGAAATTACCCCCCAGGGGGGATGGTCACGCCGCAGTCCCTTCTCCTCCATTCTCCTCTCGGGATCTTGGGCACACACGCACACACGCCCGGCGTGAGTTTTAAGCCACCGGGTCCGGGACACGAACCGCGGTCCACTACGTGGGAGTCCAGCGACATAGCCATTACGCTAACTGCTGGTTCCCCTGTGTGACTTTATGTAAGAAATATCTTTGGGGGGCCAGCAGATGGCATAGTGGTTATGTCACTAGACTCCCACATGGCTGATCATGGTTCATGTCCGAGACTCAGTGACTTGAAACTCACACTGGGCATATGTGCATGTGTGCCCAAGATCCCAGGAGAAGGGATTGCAGTGTGGCCATGCCACCTAAGGGGTGATTTCTTTCTTTCTCTTTTTTTTTTTTTTTTTTTTTGAGAGAGAGGTTTTCACTATAGGGCGCGTGCGCTCGCCAGACAGAGACAGAGAGAGACATAGAGACAGAGAGCGAGAAATCACCCCCCAGGTGGGATGGCCATGCCGCAATCCCTTCTCCTCCACTCTCTTCTCGGGATCTTGGGCACGCACGCACACGCGCCTGGCGTTCACGCATAGTTTTTTCATGATAGGCATTTTCTGCTAACTTTTCAAAGACTCTCTTGTAGTTATTATCTCAGTTCAACTTGTGTCTAGAAAATATCACTTAAATTTAAATATTTTAAATTTATTTGGTATTAATTGTATGAAGACAAAATTTTTTACATCTGAAATAAATAAGGAAAGTGAAAACAATAATATCCTACATGCCAGTTCTAGGCACACAGAGGTAGAACATCTAGAGGTGTTTCTACATAGAGCAAAATTATTGCCATGTGCAATTTTGGGCACCCTGGCTTACCTCATACTTTTACATGTTTCCAAACTAACACTCTCTAATTTCAACTTAGAAGTTATTTTTAGAATTAAGGTTGAGAGTTCTACTTAAAAAGAGCATAAAGACAGAAAGCTACTGGCAGTGGTTCAGCTGGTATACTTATAACAAAACAAGTTCTGAAACAAACAAAAACCACCCGCAATTCGTCTTCCTGAAAGACAGTTTAGCAACCTTCTGTCAGTTCAGCATGTTTCTTGATCGTCTTAATACAGATTCTGAAAGGTCTTCCTTCCTTCCTTTCTTCCTTCCTTCCTTCCTTCCTTCCTTCCTTCCTTCCTTCCTTCCTTCCTTTCTTTCTTTCTTTCTTTCTTTCTTTCTGTTTTTTGGGGTTTTTGCCATTGGGCACGTACGTGTGCTTGCCGGAGAGGGGGAGAGAGAGAGAGAGACAGAGACAGTGAGAGGGAAAGTGAGACATCACCCCTTAGGGGGACCAGCAGTTAGCGTAATGGCTATGTTGCTGGACTCCCACGTAGTTGACCTCAGTTCGAGTCCCGGACCCGGTGGCTTAAACTCACGCTGGGAACTGAGATAGTAGTCTTACAATCACACTAAGTGATCTATAATTTTATACTGAGATAATCACCGTGGAAGAAAAGAACACTATTCTATTCAAGTTTATAGCCAAGGAGGAGAGGTTGAATGGCCAGTCGGTGGAAGTTTGGAGAGAGGACCTCAGTGGATTATCGAGAAGGATCAGGCATGAGCTAATGAAGGGAAAGGCACTGGGTGTTGTTGGAAGACTAACAGGTGACTGATGGATCTAGAAAGCAGACTTAAAGCAGCAATAAAGAGCAGAGGCTGGAGAGGGAAAGGCCAGCTACCAAAAAGCTTTGTGGGCAGGTTAAGGATGGAAGCTTTTATACTAAGATCAATGGGAAGTCACCCACAGGTTTTAAGGTTTTGAGGCAGATGGCAAGAAGGGCAGCTCAGGCCACTCCCGGCATGATCAGAATAAAGCAACAGGGCAGAGGTGAACATCTCTGAATAACAGAGATCTCTCACCAGAAGACACTGCTGTGAGAAAACATCACTAAGCGTTAGTATCGGGACAAGAAGCAGCGTTTGTTACACTTGCACTGGAAGGAAAACTTAGGACAACTGCAAAAGAAAGGAGGAAGCAGCGCTTTCTTTCTTTCTTTTTTTTTTGGGGGGGGGAGAGGTTTTTGCTATAGGGTGCGTGCACTCGCCAGAAAGACAGAGAGAGACAGAGAAAGAAAGCAAGAAATCATCCCCCAGGGGGGATGGCCATGCTGCAATCCCTTCTCCTTCTTTCTCCTCTCGGGATCTTGGGCACACACGCACTAGCGCCCGGTGTGAGTTTAAGCCACCAGGTGCAGGACACGAACCACGGTCGACTATGTGGGAGTCCAGCGACATAGCCATTATGCTAACTGCTGGTCCCGGAAGCAGCTCTTTCTTAATCATGGAAGTATTGCAGAGAGGGGTGGAACATTCATGCAGATGCACACTGTTTGCCAGGATCCCAGCAGTTAACAAGGCAGCCTCTGCATGTTGAGCTTACAGAAATGATGGTCTCCTAGGGCAGCCCTCGCTGTGGAGACGGGGACACAGCATTTGATTCTGGGAAGAGGGAAGAGAAAATGCTGGAGGTTTAATAAATATAAGTAGTGAAGAAAATTTGTAAAGACATGGATTGAGGAGAGGATTGTGAAAGAAAAACAAAGATAAACTAGAAATGTTAAACGAGTCACTGTAAGATGGAGGTATTGGGAGAGTAACATAGAAATTTGCCGGGGACCAGCCTCGGAGGGGGTGGGTTTGCTCGAAGGAGGCGACGCTGGAGGGAAAGAAAGACAAAGGCCTCGTGCTTTTTCATGCACGTCCTAAGCTGGACACTCCTCTAAGATCGCTCTCTGAGGAGTGACAACTGCTAGGAATCTCCGTGCCTTTTTATTGAAAATGGATACATGCAAGTAAATGGGAGAGGGGCTACGTGTACTAATGATCAATTCATAATGTTTTAACAATAGAAACCATTTAGGGTTTGATTAAGGGAAAGTCGATTAATCATCGATACAGTTCAACAATTGTTTGATTGATGAAAGCAGGTTCCTGGTAACTTCAAGCAGTGCAGTTTCAGGAAACAGTTCCAGCAAGCAGAGTTAACTATCAACCGATGTTCAGCAGCAGCCGTCTTATGATTACTAAAAGAAAATCTCAAGCATAGATATTAGTTCTTATGGATTTTCATAAAGAATGATACTTATATAATTCTATAGGGATTTAAAACTGGATACACTTGTGTAGCCTATGGCACCACTGTTATGTATTTTGTTAGAACATTAGTTACCATGGGACGAGAGCGTCCTGGGCCAGTTTCGGCCTAGTCCTATTGTACGTGAAAAGATTATTTATATTAAATGTGTCTTGAAGGGCCTTCCAAAGATCAGGAAGAACTTTAGCACACCCTTTACTGTGCCCAATGAAGCGTTGTAATTAACAGTAAGTGGTCAGGGTAAAGGGGAGCGGTCGGGGGACTTTTCGGGAAATCCTACCACACACTCAAAATGTATGAGGGAGCTATGTAATTCTTTTATAGTAGTATATCGGGGAGTCAGAGGGGGGTCACTTCCCAGCAAGGCTATCACAGTCCCGGAGCAAATAGCAGGCGGCCTTGCCAACATGCTAAGTGACCCAAGTTTGTTCCAAGGTTGGGGGGCGTACAGTCGCAGCCTTGCCAACTCACTGAACTGACCAGAAGTGATGCTCAAAGGTAAAGGGGCTCAGATGGGTCCTGGAGCCCCACCGGGTTGGACTCCTCCAGAAATTGCTTTCAAAACCCTGTAATTATTTTACCACATTAGAACAGTATTCAATAAGATGATTTTGATGAAATAATAATCAATTTTAAATATTTTGTCCTATCATCCTTTGCCTCTTTGTAAAATATGTTTGAACAGGAACCTAATTTGAAAACTAAAACTTCCTTGTAGTAAGATTTATGCCTAATTACCCTTTTAAAACAAATACTTTTACTTAAATTTACTCTGTATTTTAATCACAGTGATCATATGACTGTAATAGAGAATAGTTATTACTATTTTAGAGATGAGGAAACTGGTCCAGAAAAGTTAAAGTGATCCTTCAGATTCTTTTTTTTTTTTTAAGAGGCTTTTGCTATAGGGCACGTGCACTTGCCAGAAAGAGAGAGACAGAGAGACAGAAAGCAAGAAATCACACACACACACACCCCGTGGGGGGGGGGGGGAATGACCATGCCGCAATCCCTTCTCCTCCATTCTCCTCTCGGGATCTTGGGCACGCACCCACACGTGCCCGGCGTGAGTTTAAGCCACCGGGTCCGGGACTCGAACCGTGGTCGGCTACATGGGAGTCCAGCAACATAGCCATTACGCTAACTGCTGGTCCCCAGATTTCTTTTTTAGAATCCGATTATTTTCACTTGTAGCTGTTCCCTTTTCTCTATTCTATCTGCCTTTTCTACTTGGATTAATACACTGATTCATTTTCACAGATGAAGCAGGGCTGGGATCATTGGAAACTAGGGCTAACAGAAGTGGTGAAGGGGATGCAGGGGGTGGACAGACACCTTCAGTACCTACCATAAACACCGTATTCTTTCCCTTTCTTTTGCATTGTACACACTCCTTTACCTAGAAATTCTTCATACCTTCTTTCTGCATGAGATTAACTTTTTTTTCTTTTTTTTGTGAGAGAGACTTTTGCTATAGGTCACATGCACTCACCAGAGAGATAGAAAGTGAGAAATCTCCCCCAGGGGTGATGGCCAGACCACAGTCCCTTCTCCTTCATTCTCCTCTCGGGATCTCACCACTTGTACCCAGTGCGAGTCTTAAGCCACTGGGTCCAGGACCCAAACCACAGTCGGCTACTTGGGAGTCCAGCAATGTAACCATTATGCCATCTGCTGGTCCCAAAATGAACTCTTAGTCATCAAGATCTGGGCCTGAAAGCCTTTCCTGACCCCTGGCCTTTCTTACTGTGCTTTTTCCGTTGCTTATTCTGTTAGCCTGGGCACCTCCATTGTTGCAGTAACCATGCTATATTGCAAAGTATTTATGATGTATTTTCCCTAATTATACTCTGCCAGCGGCAGAAGAACTTTTAGCTCTGCTTTTTCATCTGTGCAAGTCCAGTGCCTGGTATTATAGACAGCCCATCATAAATAGCTTCGTAAACATCTGTTAGATGTAACCGGCCTGTGTCTTGAAGGGTGAGTCAGGGCTGGCTGGGCACCGAGCGAGGAGAGGCATCTCTAACAGAAGGCTTTCTGCGTACAGAGGTGAGAGCCATGAATGGGTTTCAGGTGAGGAGGAATTGTTGGTGGTTCCATGTAGCTGTAGCACATGGACGGACCATAATGAATGTGTGTATGTCCCCTCAAGGAATGCATGGTTTCACCCTCAGGATATCAGGAGACATTAAAGGTATTTCAACAGGGAGTGGAACTATGCAGTAAAAGAAGGGTCATAGTGGTTCTTTTTTGTGTTTTATTTCTGTGCTTATTTTTAACTCATTCTTCTCTGAGTGATGAGATCACAAGTAATTTTTATTTTCTTCTTTATTCGTTTATGATACTTTCATAATGAACATATATTTCTTTTGTGGTTAAAAAGGATCATTTAGGAACCAGCAGGTGGCATAGTGGTTAAAGTGCTGGACTCTCACATGGCTGACCAGTTCAAGCCCCAGACCTGGTGGCTTTGAAACATGCCAGGCATGTGTGCGTGCATATCCAAAATCCTGAGAGGAGAATGGAAGAGAAGGGATTGCAGTGTGGCCTTCCCCACTGGGAAGGGTAATTTCTCACTTTCTGTTACTCTGTCTTTGTCTCTCTAGCAAGTGCATGCATCCTATAACAAAAATCTCTCTTGGGAACCAACAGTTAGCGTAATGGCTATGTCGCTGGACTCCCATGTAGTCGACCGCGGTTCGTGTCCCGGACCCGGTGGCTTAAAACTCACGCCGGACGCGTGTGCGTGCGTGCCCAAGATCCCGAGAGGAGAATGGAGGAGAAGGGATTGCGGCGTGACCATCCCCCCTGGGGGGTGATTTCTCGCTTTCTGTCTCTATGTCTCTCTCTGTCTGTCTGGCGAGCGCATGCGCCCTACAGTGAAAATCTCTCCAAAAAAAATCTCTCTTCAAAAAAAGAATCATTTATATTTTTAAAACATCAAATCTTGAAAGAAGAGTTTAAAATGGATTGAAGAAACAGAAAACTAAAACCAGAGAAGTCTTACAGTAATCACCTAAGGAGATGGTTTTCTGACCACTACAGTAAGGATGAGTAGGATAGGTGAGAGTCCATAAATATTGCAGAACCGCAGTTGACAGCCCTGGTGGCGTCTTAGTCTTCCTGGGTTGCCATGAAAAGTAACACCTCAGACTGGCTAGCTTAAATAATAGAAATTTATTTTCTGATAGTTCTGGAAGTTAAAACTATGAATATAAGGATTTTCAGGAAGAAAAACAAGATTTAAGAACGAAATATATTAGGCTCCTGAGTTTTGTGTGTGTGTGTGTGTGTGTGTGTGTGTGTGTTTAAGAATTATTTATTTAATTTTATTTATTTTATTATTTTTTATTTGACCAGAGAGAGACAGAGAGAGGGAAAGTGAGAAAGCAAGCTACCGGGTCTGGGACTCGAACCATGGTTGGCCATGTGGAAGTCCAGCACTTTAACCACACCATCTGCCAGGCCTCGGTTGTATATTTTAAAATACCACACAAGGTACATTAAAAATATGCACAGAAAATGCATATTATGAAAAAATATCTTGCACTGAAATAAACTCATACTTGTAATAAAATTTAGGCCTAATTACCTTTTTTAAAGCAAATAATACTTTTACACAAATTTCCTCAGTGTTTTAATCATAATGTTCATAGGAGTTTAATAAGCAAGTTATTTTCCCACAGACTTTTAAAGTACCCTCAAATATTAAAATATATATATATGGGGGCCAGCAAGTGGCATAATGGTTAAGGAACAGGATTCTCACATGGCCAACTATGGTTCAAGACCCGGACCTGGTGGCTTATTTTTCTCACTTTCCCTTTCTCTCTCTCTCTCTGTTTCCCACTGGTCAAATTAAATAAATAACAATAACAAATACATTTTTTAATTACCAAAAAATATATATGTATATATGAATATGCATACACATATATAAATAAGTGCATTTTAGACACACACACACCTGGAAGGAAATACACAATACTATTAGGTGATTATTTCTTAGTAAAAAGAATTCTTTATATTTTATTTTTCTAATTTTCTTATGTGCATATGTTAATTTTTTTGTTTTGCCATAGGGCACATGCACTCACCAGAAAGAGACAGAGAGAGCGAGAGACAGTGAGAGGGAAAGTGAAAAATCACTCCCCAGTGAGGATAGCCACCCCATACTCCCTAATCTATTCTCCTCCTGGGATTTGGGGCATGCATGCACACACACCTGTGTGATTTTCAAGCCACCTGGTTTGGGATTCCACCTGCTGTTGGCTATGTGGGAGTCTAGCACCTCAGCCACCATGCCACTTGCTGGCCCCATAAATGTTAATTTTAAAATCATTAATTTTATAAGAAAAACATATATATTGGGAATCTCAGAGATCTACAGACATCATTTGGCAGGTGTGTGAGATCGAATATAAAGAGAAGATGAAGGAAAAGGAGATAAGGCCACTATTTTCAAAGGTGTGAGCAGGGCTGAGGGAACCTAAATATGATAGTAAAGGACTCACAACTAGCAACAGAAAGTCACAAGAGTTGGGCCTGAAGTGACAGTGGCGGGAGTTGTCAGAGTGTAGACAAACTTGTGACAGTGGAGGGAAATGACCTATAGGGGGCAATGATGTTAACTATCATAGCAGCAAGCACCACTCTGATCATTTGCCTGGCAGGAAGAGATCCAGGAAATTAAACTTCACTCTCACCCCACTTTCTTATCCCACACTGGTTCTCTATTAGCCAGGCACACACAGAAGCCAGAGGACGAGGAAGCCAGCTGGTATAGCTACAAGTCAACCTTGGTGCCAAAGTGGAGTGGAGGAGAGTGGAGGATCAATCTGGCAGAGCAAACACAGACCATCTAGTACACCAGGGCAGGAGGGCTTAATAGAATGAAAAGATCAATAGAAACAAGTTGATCAGAGAAGTCAGGAGATTAATACTAGAAGCTGTTCATTGGATCTGGCGATGAGGAGACCATTAGCACTTTAGAAGTTCCCTAGAACACGTGATAGAAATGACAGTATTGTAGGTTAAGGAATAATAAACATGAAGTGCATCTACCGATAGTCTGCCATGAAAGTTTCCTAGAAAGAAGCAAAGTAGGACTTACTTATTATGTTGACATAAAATATTTTATATACATACATACACACACATATATATATATAGTTATGTCACACATACATACATACACATATATATATTGTTTTGGGGGTTGGGCCTATATTTTATTTTTTAATTTTAATTTTTATTTATTTTATACATTTAATCACAATATATTACTTAACTTGTAGAGAGAGTTTACCCAACATAAATACACCTCACACTAGTCCAGTTGAGGATACTATACACATTATCATCAATAGACAATGATCCATTTCCATTCAAATGTCCCATCGATATCTTGCCTACATGTAGATTTTATAGTTAAATATGTATAAACCCAATGAAATACTCCAAATCCTAGCTATTTGAAGTTGTTATATAAAATCGGATCCTTGCTAATAAAACATGCAGTAAACTTAGATCACTTAGCTTTTCAGTCATCTTTGGTACATTTCTACTGGCTGTGCTTTCTGTAAGTTAGCACTTGAGGAATAATAGACTCTCAGGCCAGTTTTCCTCCTTTTTGTCTTTTTTTCTCTCTCTAGGTGGTGGAGCGTTAGTTCTTGGTCAAGAGCAAGACAAAAAAGGAGAGGGATTCAACCCAGCTGAGTCTTTTGTCGGCTCCATAAGCCAGCTCAACCTCTGGGACTATGCCCTGTCTCCACAGCAGGTCAATGCATTTTCAGTGTATGACAGTAATGAGATACAAAGGTACAAACCTAGTGACAACGTGGACCGCCTAATGACACCCTATCTCATTGTTCACTCTGGGTTTTCGGAGTTTAGCCCAGCTGTATCATTGGATGCTCTGGTCACATCCAGGCAGCAGTTATCCATAGTTTCTTTTGATGTACCCTCTTTTGAGTTTCTTGGTAATTTTCTTAAGTTTTAATGGAAATGATTATGTTATAAAATCTTACTCTTTCAGAGCTGGAAAGAATGATAGAGAATAATATTCCAGATCCCTCTGACTAAAAATGCAGAAACTTAGGACTGGCATGAACAAAATCTTCCATAGAGAGCAACAGATGAGCGAGTGGTTAAAATCAGTCTGTAGTCAAACCGTTAGGGTTCAAGCCCCATTTCTATCACAAACTCGCTGTAATGACTTTTAACATCTTACTCCATCTCTGTAGGCTTCAGATTTCTTATCTATAAGAGAGATGAAATAAGTAGAACTTCATAGCAGAGTTTTGACGGGGTTGAACGAAATATTGTATATACATTCAATGGGATTCTTTAGCTCATAGTAAGGGCTTGATAAACGGTCATTCTTACTATTGCAGCAACAGACAATCTAAAAGCCTCAGTTTCCTCAACTCTGTACCAGAGATTGAAGATATAGAATGGAGAAAGGGACTTCTACAACACCTTAACAAACTTTCCAAAGTTTGAGGCAAGAAGTTCTATGCATAAAATTTCAAAATTGCAGGCAACCATAAATCTAGTGGGAGAAATATTTGGGAGAGGGAATGATGGGGGTAGGGAAGAGAGGGTGGGAAGACAACTTGCTTGTTGTACAAAAGCCTACCCCCCTCCACCACCACCCCTGAAATAATCTGTGAATGTTCCCAGTGAAATGAAATTAAGATAACAATAACTCCACCTTCGTGAGCAAGTACGGCTTATCTGAAGATGTATTTTTAAACTTCCAGGTGAAATCACTGGTTACCTCCTGTCCAGAGGAGCTCCGCAGAGGAAATGTATTAGCCTGGCCTGATTTCTTGTCGGGAATTGTGGGGAGAGTGAAGATTGATTCCAAGAGCATATTCTGTTCTGGTGAGAATTTTCTCTTTCTATAAACTCCACTATTATTTGACTCCTTTGGAGTTTTCTAGCCAAAGGAGATACTTTCAAATTCTCTCTTTGGTCAAATCATGTGTGCTTGTCAATCTGTTGTTTAACTAGTAATTCATATTTTCATGAAAGAATTTGATAGTTTTAACATAATTTTTTTATTTAACTTTACTGATTATTATTATTGTTTTAATTTGTTTTAGGGCATATTTGCTCACCAGAGAGAGAGAGAGAAGGTGAAAAAGCAAGCCACCAGGTCTAGTACTTGAACTGCCATTGACCATGTGGGAGTTCAGTACCTTAACCATCATTCCACCTGCTGGCCCTCAATTTTTTTTTTATGATGAAATACTTTTTGTATTAAAGAGTACAAATTAATTGGGAAAAGATTTGGACACAAGTTAAATAAAATTAGGAAAACAGAATGAGAGAAAAAATAAGTATGATTTTTAAAATATCTACCCACTAATGTCCTGTGTTCCTGTTTGGGTTAGGGTATCCTTTTTGTCCTATACTTCCTAGCAAACTATTAATAGCATTAAAAGCTATTAATAGCAAACTTCCTCCAAACTTTTTTTTAAATTAATTCACATTCATTCGGGACCAGCAGTTGGTGTAATGGCTATGTCGCTGGACTCCCATGTAGTCATCCACAGTTCGAGTCTCAGACCCAGTGTCTTAAACTCACACCGGGCGTGTGTGCATGCATGCCCAAGATCCCAAGAGGAGAATGGAAGAGAAAGGATTGTAGCATGGTCATCCCCCCGGGGGGTGATTTCTCACTTTCTTGTCTCTCTCTGTCTTTCTGCTGAGCCCATGTGCCCTATAGCAAAAAAAATCTAAAAAATAAAATAAAATAAATAAATAAGAATTTTTAAAAAGTTACAATCATTCACTGAGCATTGTCACAGCATACATATTGTGATTTCTCATCCAGAATATACTGCATAGTGGCTTAATCATGCATATTATCATTAATAATTTTCCATTTCTAGTTTCATATATATATGTATTGTGAAATATATATATATCAAATATATATTATATATATATATATATATATATATATCATGTTTATTTTCCCACTATTTCTCACCCTATGCCATTTCCCACCCTCCTCCCACACTATCTCAGGTGTCTACAATTGTTTTCCATTCCTTTTTTTTCCCCACATTTTATTGATTCATGAAATTTCTTAAATAATCTAACTACTTTCAATAGCAAATTCAGCTGGTATATACATATCCATGAACACATGTCTGACTTAAGGCATGAAGCTCTGACTAGAATGAATATACTATAAGGTAGCACCTAGCTGATGCTATATAGCTTACTATGGTCATTAATTAGGTATATTTTTACTATATTTTTTAATTTCAAGAAAAGCAGTTTTAGCTTTAATAAATCAAAGAAATGCTAAGAAACTCTGCTTAAAACTTAAAGCCAGGAAACAGGTTAGGGTTCTGTTCAAATAGTAGGTATGTGAACCTATCAGCAGCTCAAGACAGGACAAAAATCTTTAAAACCAGAACAAAGCCTAGAAGAAAAGCAGCAATATTTTAGTTATAAGTCATAAAATGCTATTTCATCAGTTCAGTCTCATGTACTTAATCTATCTTCTGTTGTGGTCCGATCTTCCCGATTAAATTCTGGGGTGTAATATTCAACTCCAGACTTGCCCCTACGATTAAGTTGGCCATTTTCTTAGTTTTTGAACTCTTATTTCTGTGTGACTATATTTAATTTTCCTGGTATAGCACTCCCTGCAGAACTTCTTGGAGAGGTGGTCTGATGTTGGTAAATTCTTTCAGGTTTTGTTTATCTGAGAATGTTCTTGTCTTCTCTTCCCATATGAAGAATAATCTTGCCAGATATACTATTCTTGGTTGAAATTATTTTCACTCAACACTTTTCTCATTCTTTCCTGACTCGCATTGTTTCCAATGAGAGGTCCCCTGTCAACCTGAGGGGATATCCTTTGTAGGTAACTTGACATTTCTCTCTTGCCAATCTTAGTACCTTATCTTTGTCTGTGGTTTGGTCAATCTGGCTATAATGTGTCTTGGAGAAGATCTTCTTGGGTTTATTCTATTGGGGGTCCTTTGTGTTTCTTGGGACTGGATCTTTGAATGCCTCTCTAGGTTTGGAAAGTTTTCTTCCAGGATTTCATGGAATAGATTGTCAATGCCCTTATGAGTCTCTTCTCCTTCTGGGATACCAATTATCTGGATGTTTGGATGTTTGATGGAATCTAGTATTTCTCATATATTATTCTCATTTTGGGGGGCAACTTTCTCAGTCTTCGTGGTAGATTTTTCTAGGCTGGCAATTCTATCTTCTACATCTCAGATTCGATTTTTGGTATGATCTAGTCTGCTTTTAATACTTTCAAGGAAGGTTTTGACTTCCTGTATTATAGCCTTCATCTCTAACAGGTCCATTTGATTGTTTTTATAGTGTGAATTTCTTCTTTAAAATCTTGCAAGAATTTCCTCACCTTCTGGAACTCATCAACTTCTTTCCCCTGCCTCTTCTACAGTTCATGGTTTCTCTTCTTTTCTATCTCTGTGAGCTTTGTCACTATGAAAATTTTAAATTCTTTATCTGACATTTCCATGAGTTTCATCACACTGTCTGAGGATGAAAAGGAGTTATTATTTTCCCTTGAAGGAGAGGTATTTTTTTTATTTTCCCATATTTCTTGTGATCCTGAGGTGATTTCTAGTCATCTGATGGGTGGTGTGTTTCTTCCTAACTCTTGAAGTTCAATCTGAGCATTCAAAAGCACACAGGAGGAGGTGATCTGCAAACTCTCTTTCATTCCATTTTCACACTTTGTGCAACAGAATCAGTGGGAATAGAGGAATATTCTGATCCTAATTGTATTCAGATGTTTAGATCCTGTTCACTTGGATCTGTCTAGACACTTAGTGCATAGGGGCTGAGAAGCCAAGGAGTAAAAGCAGAAAAAAAGGGGAAAAAAATTAGAGAAGAGGAAAGAAGAAGAAAATATAAAATAAAATAAAGTAAGAAAAAAGATAATTTAAAAAAAATTAGACTTTAATTTTAAAAAGTAAATATTGAAAACCACATGAAAGCAATATTTCACAGCTGAAGTTCAGGATCCTTGAGAGGATGGGCCTAGATTTGTGCCTTTGCTAAATAGAATTGGGAGAGGTGCAATTAGCACAATAAAGGAGGGGCTGGAGAGCCCAGAGAATAGCATTAAAAGGAGACAAGTTATGGGTGTTGCAGTTTGCAAATTGAATTGTCAGGTGCTGAGTAATCAAAACTATCTTATAAACGGCAATGTATTTAAATGAATTTTTTAAAAGTATCCTAGAATTTGTAGCTTTTGATACTTTGTAATACTTTCACAAATCTTCCTAAAATATCTTTTTTTTCCCTTAAAAAAATATTCAGCAGACTTCTGTTGAAAGATAAAAAGTGGTTGACTCGAAAAGTTTTTTCTTGTCAGGTGGTTTGCCCAGTGATCTGGTTACATGTTTACTTGTTTTAACGTCAGCAGAGTGGCTCTCACCTGTGGTCACACAGCACAAGTGAAACCCTGGACTTGGGGATGGGCCAGCCACTCTGTTGCTGAGCAGCGCTTCCCCTGTCTTCCTTCCCCCCAGATTGCCCACCTTTGGAAGGATCAGTGCCTCATCTGAGAACTGCATCAATAGATGTAAAGCCAGGCTCTAAAATCAGTCTGTTCTGTGACCCAGGCTTCCAGATGGTCGGGAACCCTGTGCAGTACTGCCTGAATCAAGGACAGTGGACACAACCACTCCCTCACTGTGAACGTGAGCTGTCTCTGTGGAAGTGATTTCAGTGGCTTTTTTAAAATCATAAGACCATAAGAACACTTTTCAGGAGGGCTAGAAAAGGCCAAATGCTTCATAGTAGCAAATATGCAAATATTCATGGGGTCTCTCCTTTGTGTAATGAACTGTGCCAGGTATCCCAACGGAGGGGGACTAGGAAGAGCCAAAGAGACCATTTATAAATGCATTGAAGGGGGCAAAGAACTCGACGGGAGGGAAAGACAGCCTGTCTGGGCTGTGAGCTGGAAGGGAAATGAATAGTTGCTAGGTGGGAAACCAGATAGAGCTCTCTTGAGTAACATGTATTCATTTACTTATTCAAGATTTTTTTAAAGTCCTACTATGTGTTAGACACTAATCTAAGTTCTGGAGATGTAGCAACTGAAAAAAAAAGTTACTGTTCTTAAGCAGCTCAAATTCTATAGGAGAGACAGAGAAGAAACAGTATTGTATTATTTCCTTGTAGTAAACAACAACAGTAAGGGCTAAAAATAAGGGCTTTGAAGAAAAATGAAGCAGGGGGACTGCAGTTGGTATAATGGCTATGTTGCTGGGCTCCCATGTAGTCAACTGCGGTTTGAGTCCTGGACCCGGTGGCTTAAGCTCACACTGGGTGCATGTGCATGCGTGCCGGAGATCCTGAGAGGAGAATGGAGGAGAAGGGATTAGGCGTGGCCATCCCCACTAAGGGGGGGGGCACTTCTTGCTTTCTATCTTTCTGTCTATCTCTCTCTGTCTTTCTGGCGAGCATACATGCCTTATAGCAAAAACCTCTCCAGGAAAAAATAAATGAAGCCGTAAACACAAAGTGAGGAGCTGAGAAGAGACCTCTCTGTTTGAGATGAGAAATGACCCATTACTACCTAACATAGCACATATTCATCTTTTTCTTTTCCTTCTGTCCCACAAGATAGTGACCCTCATAATGCAGAGATTGTGCCCCTGTAGTTCACTACTGTAACCCCAGCACCTAGGATAGTGTCTAATGGGTAGTAAGAGCTCTAGAAATATTTTTTTGAATGAATGAATTGCATGCCAGATGACACATACGATGCTGACGGTATACATGTCTCTGCAGCCTGCTACTTTCCCGACGTAAATCCAAAGTTTGTATGCACTGAAACAGCATGCTAACCTGATCTGCTAGAGTCGTTTCATATGTAAGATGTCCTTTGAGCATTACTTCTAATGCAGTGGTGTTTTATGGCCACATTACAGGGATTAGCTGTGGGGTGCCACCCTCTTTGGAGAACGGCTTATATGCAGCTGAGGACTTCCATGCTGGTAGCACGGTAACCTACCAGTGCAACAGTGGCTACTATTTGTTGGGTGATTCGAGGATGTTCTGTACAGATAATGGGAGCTGGAATGGCATTTCGCCATTATGCCTTGGTGAGATAAACATTGGAAATTCTTGCATGGGTTTACCCTAGCTCTATGGGAGATAATTACCAAATTCTGGAGGCCCTGGTGGTATTCTTTTGTTAAATTCAAATCATGCCGGTAAGCTCAGTAAGCTCTGGGCAAGCTGTAGTGGCAATGCAGCTGTCCATAGAAGGGTCGAAAATGTTTTAAATGTTTATCAGGCTCAATATTTAAGACTCTGTTTATCTATCTGTGTTCTCCTCCTAATCTACCTACAAACTAGAAAAATCATAGCTTTCCTTGTATATCTGCAATGTGATTATGACTATTATAGTAAAACTGTATAAACATATATAGTGTTATATGCTTTCAGTGATAGGCAGTGATTGAAAAGGTAAAGCAAATGTTTGATACACAGAGAAACCAAATCAGCTTTAATATTTGTAAGCCGTTTTCATTGCAGATGTGGATGAGTGTGCTGTTGGATCGGATTGCAGTGAGCATGCGTCCTGCCTGAACACAAACGGATCCTACATATGCTCGTGTACCCCACCGTACACAGGAGATGGTAAAAACTGTGCAGGTAACTAGTGTATGTTTGATTGGAAATGCCTGTTACATTTATTTTTAATTCTAGTACATATTTTAAATGTGTAATGTTTTAAAATAAAGCAGTATTTTTAAAGATTTTTTTAAATTTAATTTTATGTATTCATTCATTTATTTTAATTTGACCATAGAGACACAGAGAGTGGCAGGGGGAGTGAGAAAGCAAGCCACCAGGTCCGGGACTCGAACTATGGTCAGCCATGTGAGAGTGTCCAGCACCTTAACCACCATGCAACCTGCTGGTCCCAGTGAAGCAGTATTTTCAGCTTCAAAGAGCATATAAGAGAGATGGAGAGATACACATCTTATTAAAAGACACATAAATAATCACAAAGACACTTTAGAGACATCGCCCCTCTCTCAACTTCCTAATGTCTGAACAATAACCCTGAGAGCCAACTATATTGCCGGGATGATCAAGAGAATGTCTACTGTATAAAAGAATATTAAAGTTGACTTAGAAGGTGGTGTGGTGGTTAAGGTACATGGCCGACCATGGTTTGAGACCTGGATCTGACAGCTTGAAAATCACACCAGGCACATGTATATGTAGTCTCAAAATCTTGAGAGGAGAATGAAGGAGAAGGGATCGTGCCATGGCCATCCCCTCCAGAAGAGTTGATTTCTCACTTTCCCTCTGTCCGTTTTTCTCTGGTGAGCACACATACTCTATGGCAAAAACCTAAAGACCAAACAAACAAACAAAAACCATCTTATCTTTACCATCAATATCTTTTGTCTGCCTGAGTCACACAGAATTATATCATGGGAAAAATAAACATCTTGCCTGAACACGTCTCCATATTTTGCAATAACTTTGATGATGTTACCCTCTCTACGCATTGATATCTTTCTACATTTATTGTGGGAAGCCATTGCCAGAAAGCACTAGAGTGAAGCTAAAGAGAAACTTAAAACAGTCGATCTAATCACCTGGCTAGAGGTCCCCGAAGTAAAGTGCTGCACTTTGGGACAGAGACAAAAGTCCCAGGAGTTATACATGATACAGAAGAACCATGTTTTCCATGTGGAATGTAGAGAGAAAGAACAGTAATAACCAAAAGAGTCAGTGAGTCAGACCATAAAAGTAAGAACAGATGTTAGCTTAATCCAGAAAAGCTTCTCTTGGTTAAACAGAGAATTTTGGATGTCATCCTGTTCTCAACTTGAAAATTTGTACCGTTCAAGAACAAGTTACAGAACTTGCCTAGGGAAGTCCCTGCCTTACCTACCTTTCTTCTCTTTAAACAATGAGTGCAGATAAACAAAGTTAAAGCCAAGAAGATGGCATCAATATACTCTCCCTGTTTGCTCCTTTTGTTCAACTCCAGCTCTGAATCTTATTTTAATCTTCCCCATTTCAGCAGTGGTGACACCCCTAATTTGTACATAGGAGGGGCTTTGGTCTCCAGTCTGTTTGGAAAGGGAGACCGAGAACTTGCCCCGAGTCTGCTGTTGCTCAGCCTTTGCATCAGCTGGAGACTAAGTCAATTGTTCTTAAAAAAGTGGAATGAGGGAGACCAGCAGATGGCGTAGTAGTTAAGGTGTTGGACTTCCCATATGGCCAACCAAGGTTTGAGTCCCAAAACCTGGTGGCTTGAAAACCTCACACTGGGCATCTGTACATGCATGCCCAAAATCCCAAGAGAAGAATGGAAGTGAAAGGATAACAGCTTGGCCATCCCCCTCTGTGGGGTGATTCCTCACTTTCCCTTTTGCTGTCTCTCTCTGTGTCTCTCTCCAGTGAGCATACACAACCTATGGCAAAACAAAATTTTTTAAAAAGTGGAATGGGGGTGGCAGGTGGTGAGAGAGGCCATAGCCCTTCTAAGTCATGCTCTGTGACCACCACTATTTCCTCAATACATAACTGCCTTTTTGTTCAGATAAAATTTGCATCTTTTTGTTAGTCATTGCTGTAAGTGCCTACTAAACACATGTTCCGGTGCAATGTCCAATGTGTCCCTGGCCTTCATGCATCTCCCTTCATAGGTCTTTCAGAATTGTATCGGGTACCTGGTCTGTACAGAATTCTCTCTCTGTGAGACTTTGCATCATATGTGAAAGCCATTTATTACCGCTCCCCACCAAAACTATTTCTTTGTTTCAAGAACCTATAAAATGTAAGCCTCCAGGAAATCCAGAAAATGGCCACTCTTCTGGTGACATTTACACGGTGGGTGCCGAAGTCACATTTTCATGTGACGAAGGACACCAGTTGGTGGGAGTAACCAAAATCACATGTTTGGAGTCTGGAGAATGGAATCATCTGAGACCACACTGTGAAGGTATGTTGAGTCAAGTTCTCACGTTGATTGTATCTGGCAGTCCTAGACAGCAAGGCGTCGACCTGTCGGTTGATATGTTGCAGCCATGTTCTTTGTATTAAAAGCCCAATTATTAAACTCATGTTTAAACATGACAAAACCTATGGCTACCCCTTAAGATTTCAGAAATTGTGTACATACTCGCTGGGAAAAATAAAGCTTTTTGATTTTCCTCTTTCAAGCTATTTCCTGTGGTGCACCAGCTATTCCAGAAAATGGTGGTATTGATGGTTCAGCATTTACCTATGGCAGTAAAGTGATATATAGGTGAGTGTCTAAGATTAAAACTACATTGTGAGGACCAGTAGGTGTCATGCTGGTTAAGGTGCTGGGCTCCCTCATGCCTGACCACAGTTCAAGTCCCAGATCTGGTGACTTGCTTTCTCACCTTCCCTCCTCTCTCTCTGGTGAGTGCAATGTGTTCTGTAGCAAATTAAAATAATAATGATGATGATGATAAATAAAATTAAATAAATAATTCTAAAAATAACTACATTGTATCAATAGAGGTTGATGGTATGCCTGCAGTGATATAACAGCAGAAGAAAGAGGTAGAAGGGAAATATCTAGAAGATATTTTTGAATTAATATGGAATTCACTGAATAATGTCTAGGGTGGAGAAATCTTAATCCAATAAGCTAGTGATAGTCATATCTAGAATCCTTATATACTCTGACCAGTTATGTATTTTCATCACCACCAAGGGAGTCCTTAGAGCATCCTGAGAATGGATTCCACAGAAGAAGGTGCTATTAGCTAATGAATACTCCTGGTTAGAAGTGAGCTTTGACTCCAAACTCAGTATCTCAGGAATTTAGACTAGACTATGCTGTTTTGAAACCAAGAATTACCTACTAACCCATGACCCAAACTGGAAGCAAACTAGATCCTTCAATCTACTTTTCTACTTATCAGCCACAGGGCCCTTGTGGGGGAATAGGCTGTAATCAATCTTAAAAAATGAAATAAATTGACATTATTTTAGTAGTAAAGAGAACTTTCTCTCTTTTTTTTTTTAGAACTTTTTCAAGAGGTGTAAATTCTCAATATTTTTAGAGGTTTTGGGCACAAATAGCATTGTGCAAGTAAAGCAAAATCTATGATTTTTGTTTTTCTTCTTCAGGTGTGATAAAGGATATACTTTGGCTGGTGATAAAGAATCATCCTGTCTTGCTAGTGGCTCTTGGAGTCATTCTCCTCCTGTGTGTGAATTAGTGACGTGTTCTAGTCCTGGAAACATACATAATGGAAAATACATCTTGAGCGGGCTTACCTATCTCTCTACTGCTTCATATTCATGTGAGAGTGGATACAGGTAACCTGTGCAAACACCAGCCAAGCTTCCTAAGATACCCTGTGATCTGTTCTTTACTCAGTAGGCTTCTTTATATGTGAATGGCTAACTTTGAAAACAAATTGCTAAGTGGAAGGATAATCTCAAATTGGTATGCTTCCTGAGAGCTGGTTTATAGTAAATACCCAGGGAAATACTCAAATACTCACTCTAACTGTGATTCTGGGGAGCCTACTTCAATAAGCATTCAGACTTTAAACAGGAAGGCAAAAACTGTTTGTGACATAATACAATACCTGATAAAATGCTTTTGTGGTGGGTTTTTTAAATAAACAGTTTACCAAGCTAATATTTAATACCGTGTGGGATATTATAAAAAAGCGTATCAGGGTTCTTAATACTGCAGGAGGTTAATTTGATGAATGGGTTGTATGTGTAATGCACGTGCATGTCTGTGTGTGTGTCCAAACAAGGGATAGTAGAGTCAGCTGTGATTAGAAATGTGGCCAATGGGATCCGAAGTGAAGCAGAGCATGTGAACGGAAAGTAGAGGGAATTAGAATCAGGTTGGTAAGCAAAGGCAGATAAGCCATAACATATATGAGGTTTACCACCCTTCCTCCGAGGTCAGAGTCATGAGCAACATGGTTCAGATGGCCAGGTTCATGGCAAAGGCAATGTCCTTTGACCTGGGCTACCCTGATTTCCTGGCTACTCAGGTAAGCATCTCCCTTCCCATTGGATTCTAACTAGCCTATTAACCCCTTCTTCTCTGAGTAATCTGCTATTGAGAAGCCCTGAAGTACCTTACACCCACCACTGAGGAGCACATGAGACTGTTTCATTTTGTGCCCCTTGGGTGTTGTGTTACATTGTTGTAACCCATTCATTGTTTTCCACAGTATCTCACCTGTTTAGATTTCACTTGCTTTTACATAAAGCAATAAGATATAGAGGAACATTATTTTATGTACTAAAATTCTTCAAGTATACCTTATTTGCTTTTAAAATTCCTCAAGTATATCCTATTTGCTTCCTATTTTATCTCCACAACAGTAAATAAATAGCGATGAAAGAGGTGACATATTTTTTTTCTCCACAGTTTACAAGGCCCTTCCCTCATTGAGTGCACAGCATCCGGCAGCTGGGACAGAGCGCCACCTACCTGTCACCTGGTCTCCTGCGGAAAGCCTCCAGCCATCAAAGATGCTGAAATCACTGGGAGTAACTTTACTTTTGGGAACACTGTCACTTACTCCTGCAAAGAAGGGTGAGTAAAGGTTATGAAGGAAAGGGACGCTGAGAGCCAAGGGAGTGGATGCTCCCTGACTATGGAAATAGGCTCCACTGGACTCAAAATGAACTTTCCTGCAAGTCAAAGCCGAAGAGAGCTTTATGCTCCTATTTTCTGACAGCAGACAGAGATCGTATTCTCCTGTGGATATGATGTTTGCTTGGAATTAGAGTAATTTATCCAATTAGGCCTTGAGTAATGAATATTGGGCAATGTGGTGGAAAATATCTGTATACTTTCATTAAAGATGCAAAAAGTCTATTTAACTAGGCATTTGTGTATTTTCCTAGTGCAAAACCAAAGGCAAGACTTTAAGTCACAACTGAAGATGCCATGTCTTCAGGAAGAAAGATAATCAAGTTCAGGGTTTTTTGTTAGTTTTTTAAGAGTTTTTTGTCTTAGGTTGCATGTGCTCATGTGTTCCTGAGAGAGGGAGAGGCAGAGATAGTGAGAGAGAAAGTGAGAAATCAACTCCTGGGCGGATGGCCATGCTGAAATCCCTTCTCCTCCATTTTCTTCCCAGGATCTTGGGCACCCATGCACACGCACCCAATGTGTGTTTCAAGCCACCAGGTCTGGGATTCGAACTGTGGTCAGCCATGTGGGAATCCAGCAACGAAACCCCTATGCCATCTGTTGGCCCTAAAGTTCAGTTTTTACATTTCTAATAATCTTCTTTAATTCAGAGATAATATTTGAAAAACAAGGAAGCAAATTATAAAGAGTTTTCGCACATTGTCCATGAGGTACAGAGAAAGGAGAGGCTCACTTTGGTATGATCTGCTTAGGGTCTCGCGGCAGCCAATAAAGATTGAGGAGAGATTAAATCCCAGGTCATCTGACTTTCCTTACAATCACTTTTTTTTTTCATGCTCCCTCAGTAAATAAAAATTTCATTGAAAATGTATATTATGAAAAAGCTATGCACAGCTTTCTAACATTTTTGCACCAGAATAAACTTGTACTTCCTTTAATTCCATTTTCCATAAACTTATGGAAGTCCTCTTGCATTTTCACCGTTGATAAGACTTTCACACTTCAGATTTATGACAGCTGTTTTTCACAGTAAGTGAGAAATCAACTCCTGGGCGGATGGCCATGCTGAAATCCCTTCTCCTCCATTTTCTTCCCAGGATCTTGGGCACCCATGCACACGCACCCAATGTGTGTTTCAAGCCACCAGGTCTGGGATTCGAACTGTGGTCAGCCATGTGGGAATCCAGCAACGAAACCCCTATGCCATCTGTTGGCCCTAAAGTTCAGTTTTTACATTTCTAATAATCTTCTTTAATTCAGAGATAATATTTGAAAAACAAGGAAGCAAATTATAAAGAGTTTTCGCACATTGTCCATGAGGTACAGAGAAAGGAGAGGCTCACTTTGGTATGATCTGCTTAGGGTCTCGCGGCAGCCAATAAAGATTGAGGAGAGATTAAATCCCAGGTCATCTGACTTTCCTTACAATCACTTTTTTTTTTCATGCTCCCTCAGTAAATAAAAATTTCATTGAAAATGTATATTATGAAAAAGCTATGCACAGCTTTCTAACATTTTTGCACCAGAATAAACTTGTACTTCCTTTAATTCCATTTTCCATAAACTTATGGAAGTCCTCTTGCATTTTCACCGTTGATAAGACTTTCACACTTCAGATTTATGACAGCTGTTTTTCACAGTAGAGGGGTTGTAGCTGTCTGGATCTGCATCTCAGCTGTGTCATTCATTAACTATGTGGTCTTTGGGGAACTGATCTGACTTGTCTGTGCTTCAGTTGTCCTCATACATAAAATAATTTTATTTAAAGTTCTCTTTATCCTATTTACTATTACCAGTTAAACTAAGTCCAGCTGCTGCTTTTTATGGTCAATGAAATAAAAGGCAAAGATCGGAGGAAAAGGGAGTTTATTCTATAATCAGTTACAAAAGAACAATCAGCAAGTACTATCCAACTGTCTCAAAAACCTCAATGTGTTCTCGATATTTATCAATAGAAGATTCAAGCATGGGTAAATCATTCCTCACTCTGTAAATCAGAGTCTATCACTTTCCCCTGAGTGATTATCTTAATTCCTTCAAATACCTCTTCCTGGTTTTCCATCTGATCATTCCTGAAACAGATCTCTCTATGACTCAGCATCTGGTCCCATTGTCCTTGTTAGAGGCCCTTCTTAATTTCAGAATGGCCACAGTCCTGCTAACCCTTAAATTGGCCTTCTACAATGCTTAGTGGATGTTGTGAGGAGTGAACGAATATAAGGAATGACTTACCTGGGGTGGGTGGGGGAACCTCAATAAACCCAATAAATTTAGCCATTGTTATGCTGTGAAGCACAGATGAGAGGATCCAGTTTCTGTACTTCCATGAAGATGGATTTCTATTCACATGGATAGACCATCCCACTTACTATACAACTGCCAGCAGGGGGCGACAATATTTTCTTGCAAAAAGGTCTTGAGAATAAAACACTTGTATAAATAACTGACAGAAATCCCAACTCTTAACATCTCTTAAGTGCACAAGAAATCATTCATGTTAAAATGTCAGTGCAGGGTGGTTTTCGATGTTCCTGTCTATCTCCATGGGTTGACGTCAGAACTGACTCCTAATGAGCTGCATAGGACTATCTAAAACTAGTCGTTTAAATGTCTGTGAAATCTTAGCAGATATTGATATTTCAAATAATATCTTAGATATCACAACTCCGGTGGAGAGGAGTTGATTTGAAAAGTAACGCATGGTCAGCCGTGGCAGTACAGCCGTAATACAACACACAGTGAGGCTACAGCCATATGGGTTGCATTCAGAGATTTACCTGTGTACACCTGGTGTGCACATGCATGCTTGGGATCCCTATAAAACCAGATAATACAAAATCTATATTTAAAAATCAGGCAGCTCCATGGCCTAGTGGTTAAGGCAGCCAGATCCGAAATTGCCAACAGAGTGGTTCAAGTCCCGGATCCAATTGCTTGAAAAAAGTGTCAGGCATGTGAACGTGTATACCCAAAATACTGAAAAGAGGGAGAAATGGAAGAGAAAGGATTGCGGCATGACTATTCCTTCTCCCTCTTCTTTCTCTCTTGTGAGTGCATATGCTCTCTGGCAAAAATAAATAAATAAATAAATAAATAAATAAATAATAAAAGTAAAATAAAAGTCACCCATAATTTCACCACTCAGAAGCAAATAGTGGGCAGGGCCATTTTCTCTCCAAGTTCTTGGTTACTTTTTGCGAGCCATGGAGAGTGACTTTTATCTGCATTACTACATGGGTCACAAAGGCAAGTTCGGCCATGAGTTCCTGGAGTTTGAGTTCAGACCCAACGGGAAAATGAGATATGCAGACAACAGCAATTACAAAAGTGATGTCATGATCAGAAAAGAGGCTTATGTACATAAAAGTGTGATGGAAGAACTACAGAGAATAATTGATGACAATGAAATGACCAAAGAAGATGATGCTTTGTGGCCGCGTCCTGACCGAGTAGGCCGGCAGGAGCTTGAAATCGTCACTGGAGATGGACACATTTCCTTTACAACATCAAAGATTGGTTCCCTTATTGATGTCAATCAGTCCAAGGATCCAGAAGGCTTGCGAGTATTTTATTATCTTGTCCAGGACCTGAAGTGTTTGGTCTTCAGTCTTACTGGATTACACCAAGATTAAACCAATTTAGATTGCATGTTGGTGTGGACTTGAGGGGGATGGAAGTAGTTTTTAATTACCATTATGAGGAACTTTTTGTGTATATCAGAGCAATATTTTTTTTATAAACTGTAAATGATCCACTTTAATAAATACATGATAAAATAAAAAGAAAAAGATGAAGCCACTGGGTCTGGGACTCGAACTGTGGTCGACTATGTGGAAGTCCAGCGACATAGCCATTACACTAACTGCTGGTCCCAGGGGAATTTTGTTTTATAAACTGTAAATGATCCTCTTTAATAAATACATGATAAAATTAAAAAGAGAAGCAAATAGTGGTAATATTATACTTCATTTCTTCCCAGATTTTAATCTTTGTACAAGTAATATATTTTTATTATAATATATCAATTTAAAAGTGTCAGTATATATAAAATATTTTTTGTCTAATGTTGTCTATCTACATCTAAAAGTAACTTACTTGAGGAAGCAGTAAATAATGAAAATGTCAATAAATCCATTCCTTTGAAGAGGATTTTTACATTATTCAAAGCACTTCTATGGCAATGATCTCTGTGTTCACTTTTATAAATATTTTGCCAGGAGAAATTGTACTCCCACCTGAGAGCCAAGACGTGAGAGTTTTAGGCCAAATTATCTTACAGAGCCCATCTGGACTATGCAAGTGACTAGCGCATGGGAGCTTTTTTTGTTATTGAAACGAAGGGAACAAAATCTGCCCAGCTAAATCACATAGCTGTTAAAAGGCATGAAACCATTTTATTAAAGGGCTTTATATATACATGAAGTACCGTGTAACTATAATTTCATTATTTCTGTATTATTATTGTTACATAAAGTGACATTTCAATAATGTAGGAGGAAACTATCATAGCTAATTAATAATATAAAGTACACATAATCACAAATCCTTACTACCTATACATTTTATCTAAAAGATAAAAATTAATAACTGGGACCAGCAGATGGCATAGCGGTTATATTGCTGGACTCCCATGTCGTTGACTGTGGTTCGAGTCCTAGACTCTGTGGCTTAAAACTCACAACAGGCATGTGTGCGTTCATGCCCAAAATCTGGAGCAAAGAGTAGAGAAGGGATTGTGGCATGGCCATCCCCCTGGGGAGTGACTTCTCACTTTGTATCTCTGTCTCTCTGGCAAGTGCACGTACCCTATAGTAGAAATCTCTCTGGGAAAAAAAAAAAGATAAAAATTAATAGCTATTAGGAAACAGTTTTATTTTTCTAAAACAAAAATTTTAGAGAGGTTATCCATTTATTTATTCCATGAGTGAGAGAGACAGAGA